TGGGAAAATTATGAACCAGTAGGTTATTACATTACTAGTATGAAGATCACCAAGATGGATTACGTTTGGAATCGTAGTATTCACAGGGACTCGCAGTAAACGTTCAGTGTAGTAAGAGCTAATGCGTTATATATAGGACTACAAAAACAATCACAATGAATGACGCTTACTGTCGTCTTGTTCGGATATTTCGGAAGATTTTAGACATAGCTAATTTATCACTACTGAATTTATACGACGTTTCTTACACATGTCACTCTTCTAAGACTATAGGGTGCTAAAAGGGATTTTCCAAGTGAGTCTTCCCCGGGCTTACTTTGCCGACTGTTGCCACGTTCTGTTTGTTCTTCTGATGTCTTCTCCCGATCCCTGTTACAGGTTACTTTTAAATCTACCTCCTTTCCTTTTACCATAAGGATCCGAAGTCAGGGCATACTTTGTTATGTGGTCTGATGAAATCGTCAGTGTGCTCGATTCACCGTAAGGGTTGTTCCTCAACGTTTACCTTAGTTAGAAGCCCGTTACATGCTTGCCATAGTAGGTTGCTGTTGATGGGGTCTTCTCAACTGATCAGGAGTATCTTGCGTAGACAACTGCTTGTAGATAGTTTATAAATATCTTCCTGATGATGGTTGCAGTTTACCTCCACATTTCAGCTCTGTATAATGTAACCGTAACTGGAGATCTTTTAAAGTTACCGCTGGTCACATGCACACATAGGGAAGGAGGGGTGGATACGGTGTTACCAACCCTATCCTGTAAAAAAGAAAATTGCTAGAAAACTAACTCAAATATAAACAGAGGCTTCGGATGTTTCATTAGGTGCGAGTAACTGCAATTTACTCATAGCTTCTAAGAATACCCAACTCATGAAGTCTGAGGAATGTATTATTGTTGTGACAAGTGACAAGTGAGTATTTAACGCCAAAACCTTCCGTATTTCATGGCATTTTATAATAATAATAATAATAATAATAATAATAATAATAATTTATTCTCAAATAACAGTTTGTTACATGAGGCATGCCAGTTTACAGGCAAGATCAAATTGATACAAATGATACAATATACACTGTATTAAATTACATAGCTGGGTTGAAAATTTATAAGACATGAATGTAGATTGTTTTAATCAGTACTATAGTTGGCGCGCTTCACGAAAGTTGCGTTGCGAATGTGCGACTGACGGTCAAGAATAGGTCCATTGAAGGTATGAGCTTTTAGAAATCGCAACCTTATGTCCCTTTGGGATATCCAAGGCTTTAAGGATGGTGCAGGATGAAGTAACCTGTTCCATATCTCAAGGGGGCTGAAAGAGGGAGGAAGTAAAAGAAAACACGAGAGGCAGAGTAGCCAATATTCATGTAGGAATGTTTAAGGTATGATTACTCAGTCTAATTTTCTTTTATTAAGGTATTTGTTAAGAAAGAGCATTTTAATAGGTTAAAGAAAATAAGCTTTAGCAAGGTGTGAGTGGACATACAACTGACAAATGGAGGCGATTCGGAAAAGAGCTGAGAGTATAAGATTATGTGTGATTATAAAATAAAATATAGTGCTAGAAACAGTATTGTGATATACAACTGGCTATCTTCCTTTTATTATCGAAGCTATTAGAGCCCCTTTCGTTTTTTTTAAGGTTTTATAGGGTCTTGAGTAGGCTTCGTATATTAGCGAATTGTCTAGTTTGCTTGTAATAGGATTTCTGAGTCATAGGATGAACTCGTCGAAGCGTCTATCAGTCGTGTAAAAGTGGTATTCGTTCCTTTGATCGCCTTTTTTACTGGTAAGTGATACCAACTACAAAGCAATCATCAGTTGAAAAATCATCTCCACTGCAGTGAATTAAATCAGGGGTTGGATAATGGTCATTAGAAAGAACCTGATAACAGGCCTACGCATTTTGGATAGACTGCATGGATTTGACTACCAATGTGACAAATCAGAAGATTATACTGGGTATAGAACAATTTACTACATAACGCCTACGTCTATCCGTATATATTCAGAGTTGTAGTTTCAAGCTTCAACGTTTATGTGCTAGTAATCAGACCAACACAGTTACTTTTCGTCTCAACGAACATGAGCATTTTGAATTCATGATCAACAGTATTACTGAACATATTTACTAAAGAGACGTATTTGTCGGTTTTTCTACGTGTCGTATCGATTAGGATACTTCACCGTATTCTTACATGATTGCTGTGAAATCTACATCATTGGTTTAACACAGAAAAATAACAGCAAGTGTTGAAAGTGAGAGTATTATTATTCTTTTGCTAAAATGTTTCTTGTCTCTCTAAAAGTGTCACACTATTGACCTTGCATGCAAATGGAAGGACTTGTGTGCCGTGGCGGCGGAGTCTTTTTATGAGTCTAGAAATTGCCAAATGTTATATACCTCACTATCCGTAGTATTTTTGGATGCCAACGAAGAAAATCAATTTACAATGAAAAAATATCCACTGTTCCAAATGTACTAAACGAGAACCTTATGACGGAATTTTTTATAAGCCAGTCTACTCATCGTGTCTGTTAGGTGAGGAAAAAAACCCTACATACATGATACCTCGAAATATGGGGGAAGAAGGCAATAAAAGCTGACTAAAACTGACTTAGTTTTTGAGTTTAGCAATCTGACTGAACCACACAGTCCTCAACTGTCTGGCGATAAACGCCGCGGTGATGTCAAACAAAATCATTTCGGTTTCAGTTTCAGCTTGGGAAGGACAGGAGGCCCGATGGCCTGTGTTAGTCCTGGCAATGGTGGTCACTCAGTTGATCCAACTTTCTTTTGAAAGAATCGACGGATGGAGCCTCAACCAAGTGCTGAGGTAATGAGTTCCGCTCGTTGATGATTCGATGGGAAAGTCGATAATCAGCTGACAAGTAATTTGTTCTGGTCTTGTGAACTTTTTTAGAGTGTCCTCGTAAATTCTCTGTTTTGGAAGCAGCTGCTTAATCAGCACAAAGTCATGCTCGAAACGAGCTTTAGGTTCAGAGCTCTCACTATCCTTGATTCTATGAAAAATAACTGATCTGTCACTGTGATCAGCTTTCGATTTTACGACTACTTTTACGGGAGCAGGATTCCTGTTTATATCGCTACGCTGTTTCTTCCTTACGACCTGTACCCAGTCGTCAACGGTGCTGGGAGAAGCAACAACAGTTGCGTCAAACGTAGTGTTGGATTCTGGAGGGTTGTCGATGACTGAGAGGTCAGGCTATGTTTACCGCTTGAAACCAATCGAGCCTTGCGACTGCGGCTTCTAGGCGTTTCCTGTGGGATCCCATCTAGGAGACGGGGAACAGAAGAACTTGCTTTCCTTGAGCTTTTGTTCTAGGCAGTCCCTTTTGACCAGCGTGAGTCATCTACTATCGAACTAACCTTAGTTTGCCTCATGTCGATTTGTGTGTCGACAGATCGAGTGCTGTTCGACGTGTTCCGACTGCGCTTGCTAAAACACTTCTTTGCAGCATCAACCAGTGAGATGGACTCGCTTAACAGGCTGTTTGCATACGAACAGCACTGTTGGCAAAGCCATACGCAACCCTTCTTACTGAACCGTTTGAAAGCCACAGCCATTAAGTTCGTGCAAACTTCGTGGAACCAGCCATTGCACTCGTCGCACTGCATGCCGCTTTTAACGGGGTAACGACAACTTGGACGTTGGCAACTGCTATTTTTATACTGTCCTGTCATTTAAAAGGAGTCTTTTTCAAAAAGGATTGAGATGTGATGATACTCAGAAACAAAAAAAATCAATGACCAAAAAATGAAGAACTGTAGATTGTAAGGACCAAAAGTACCAACAGACACAATTGAAAATGAGGTACTCAAAGGTTTCAACGACAAAACTAATTGAAAGAACGGTAAAAACGGTACTCTAGTCGAATACTTTAAATGAAATGAGTTCAATTAAAGTGAAAACAGTAGTCCTGATACGTAATAAAAGGTCAAAACAAAGAAATATACTCAGCGAGGAAAAATACTACTGTCCTTTTTTAATAGCGCGCAATTACTATAGAGATACTGATGTGATTGGAGAAAGCGCATACAATATAGCGTAGTGAAAGATAAATGTCACTGAGACCCCGCCAAGTCATCCGGCAGTCGAGTCACTGAATATCGAGCAGTTAACCTATCCTCATCAAGGTAAAAAACAACCGGCGTGCATTAGTCAATTGTACGCCATAGATTTGCTCATGCAGCGATGGTCTCACTCTGTTCCTTGTATCTACTAATGTATATCTGTAGTAACGTCGTTTGTCTTGTACGATCATCACAATAGCCATGGTACGTGGATACGATGAAAGGGCAATCCACGTTAGGTATTAACCATGATGGTAGCCGGTTGGCCACATTACGCACCTTTGGCTCGAGAGAGCCTCTAACCATTCAACACTGATCACCTGTGTTGGTGATCTGTAGTAGTATGCATTATGGATGAGTTCACACAAGGAAATCCTAACTAGCTGGAGTGTAACCAAAACAATAAAATCATTTCACAGTTCAGTTGTCGTACGAAAATATAGTATAATGGCTCTCATGGTTACGAAATCCATGAAGTAACACCCATTAACCTCGAGAAATCTCGTTATCAGGCAAATAAAGTCTAATGAAGGAATTTAGATAAGACTATAGTGAGCAAAAATTGGGCAGCATAAGTAAGCACAGTCTTCTTGTCAACTTCGCAGTGCAATCGCGGTTAAATCGGCTTTAAAGGTTTTTAGAATGGTTATGGATGTTCAAAAACTCAAAGAATAACAAACTTGAGACATATTCTTTATATAAATCATCATTACCAAGAAATCGATAATTTTCTATAGCTTTTTGATAAGATTGGCTCATATTTATTTAGTCCAATTGTTTGAGATATCTTAGAACGTACTACTTAGTCGTTTACTTAAAAGTATGCTGACCACACCGTCTCAGATGTTTTGTTTGTTTATATGTATTCATAACTTAGCAACCAAGGTTAGTGTATGCCGCTTATAACGAATACCCTATATCAGTGGTTGTACTTATTTGAAACAGTAAGATTTACACGTGATCAAAGTGTATGTAAAATTTGCTTGCTTAGGTTTCATTGCTGTCTTGAGTATCAAAAAACTTTGCTACGCAAACCGAGACTAAATACCATTGACGGACCTGGAGCGACGACTATGTGACCTTGAAACAACTCACCTGTTTATAAATTAGTTTGAGGATTTAAATTTAGGAGTTAGAGCTAGATTTTAGGATTATGAATTAAAATAAGATTTTCATTTGTCATTCAAATCGTGGATAAAACTTTTTTGTCGAACCCTCATGTCAACTGACATATTTATTTTGGGGATTTATTTACTGCTACAATATCATAATTATCATAGCTTAAACTGTAGTGCTCAAATGCTATTAAGCCATATAGATGAGCGAATTTCCTGTTCTTCATTGATTCATCTACAAATTATAATCTCGCCCAGAACATGTACTGCAACAGGTATTCTCAATTCCAATTGAGATAGAATGTTTTATAAACGTGTACCTAACTCTTGTTCATTCCAGTTTCAGTTTCGACATGAAAAGGGCACTAGACTAGGTGACCTGTGCTAGTTTTGTAAGTGGTGTCCGTTAGTTGATCCAACTTCCTTTTGAAAGCATCTACAGATGGAACTTCAATCACTTGTTAAGCTTATGAACTCCATTCGTTGATGATTCGATGAGAAAGCCGATAGTCAAATAAGTAGTTATTTGTTCTGGGCTTGTGAACATTTTAGAGCATCCTTTTAAACCCTCTGTTTTGAAAGACAAGAAAAATTTGGGCATATCATATGTCAATTTATCACCAAGGGATTCAAGAACTGTGATCAAGTCATCTCTGGTTTTTCGATACAACAATGGAAATATGTATAGTTTAGCCATAAGGCAGCTTTCTCATTTCGAGTATTAGCTTGATTGTAGGTCTTTGAACCTTTTTCAACAGCTCATTGTCTCATTTTAGGCAGGGGATAGTTGCTTGTATGCAATACTCGAGCTTAAGACGCATGAACGCTGTATACAAAGACAAAAATGTTTTAGCATAGACATGGCTAAAAGTCTCACGTATTGATCATAAAGTTCTAAAACCTTTGATGGCTTTCGCATTGCAGTGTGAAGTGGTTTTTAATTCTTGGACATCAATGACTCCTAATCCATTGTGTGTCCGGATAACAGGTAGTCACAGTTAGTCACCGTGTATATACATGTACCTTGGTGACCAGTGTGCACCACAGTGCACTTGGAAGCATTTATCTGTAAGTGTAAAATTCTACACCATTCAGATAATTTCTCTAAGTCATTTTAAAGTTCTAAGCTATCACCTTCACTTTTTATCGCTTTCCATATCTTGATATCGTCTTCATATAGCAAGACCGACGGTTGTTGGAAACTAGGACGGTCAGCTACATACGGAAGGTACAACACTGAACCTCAAACTGTGCCAGGAGGCGCTCCACTAATCACAGTTTTCTAGCTAGACAACTTTAATTTCACCCGTACTCTTTGTTGGTACCGTGTTCACTGGGTTTCTTTATGCTCAAAGGTTTATATTTGCGATAAAAATTACAACGCTAGTATAGTTGTCACAATTTTTGAATCATTATAAGCTACTTTGTTTACTGGAAGGACAATTTGTAACTTTTAATTATTTGCTTGCTACCTGTTTTGTGTTGAATCCCTATTATTCAGTACAAATTGCATCTAGTGATACTGCGCTTAGAATCAAATGATGAGAAACTGTTACTTTAGTGAGATTTTTATGTTTATGTTGAATCTAATTGTACCAAATAATTGTGTACAATAAAGTTTGTTAAGCAGTACAAATAACACAGCATGTTCATATCTCATAACTAGGTTTATCATGTTAATATCTAAAATTAATCGAGTCATTTACTTAAGTTTTATGGACCTTAATCACTTATTTTTAGTAAAACCCTATTTATTGTTAGATGAATCAGCCATAATTAAAGACTACTGATAAAGTAGTATAGTAGCATACAGACTTATTGCATGTTAGTTGAAAGAAAATGCTACCTAATGGTTTTATGTTGTTAATATTTAAGACGAATCAAGCTGTTCTGTAATTATTTGAACCATGGGTACTAAAAACCGAGGTTAGTCACTAGAAAACGTTGAATAGTCGAGCATTCGGGGCTCTGAAATACTACTGGTGAGTCTTGTTGAAGACTACAAAGGTGCATATCCATCCAGAAATATAACGAGTAGGTGCTGGCGTTTTATTGCTATATAACAAGATTTCCATTGGAAGTAGTACAGGTATGGAAGCATATTTATAAGCCAGTTATTTTTTGCAAGTTAGCGATGATAGAAATACGTTTAGCACGACCCTGATTCAAGTTTTTGCTCTTCCTAATAACATGAACTTTACGTAGTACAATGATTTACAAATTACCAATGATTTTCCACAATTAAAGAATTATCTGTCTTTTCTGCTACGCAATAACAACAATCACTCTTTTTGCAACATATAATCAGTCACCTGATACTATTATTTTGATAAGGCATTCCTTAAGTGTATAAGTTATTATATGACTCTTTCAGCAGTCCTATTGTACAACTGGGTTACATTTTCCAAATAAGCCATTTTTTCTCAAGTCTCAGTTTGTAGTAATCGTTCGGCGTGGACAAATTAAGTAACAAGTCGCATATTTTCAAACTTTAATCCTGAAAGATTATTAACATTCTTTCAGACTTCATATTATTATCAGTATATTCAATAAAAATTTACTTTACGATCTAATTCACTTTGTTTCTCTATTGTCTTTTTAAATGCAGCAATATTTCTGATCTTGTACCAACTGACTTTACTCAACAAATATTCGTCTGTCAACAATTATGGATGATACACGTATAGAATGGATGAAACATGTTATATACAAAGGGTTGAACTTAGTGGACAATGATATATTTCTTGAATTTCTTGAACGTAACGATAATGAAAATGAATTGGAACTAGCAAAATTTTTAAATGATTCACCGAAAGATGAATATCAAATATTAATATTCTATAAAACATTTTATGAAGAAGAAGTTGAAGAAATCTTGGAAATACCAAGAAAACAATGTAAGAAAATATAAACTTTTTAAAAATAATTATTTTCTAGCTACAAATGGTTTAACAGATGTTGATGGTGAAGTTCAATACGAACAAACTAACAATAATTTGGATAATTCTGAAGAAATGACAACTAATCAGAAACATATTCCTGATGAAATTCCTACTAATAATCACAATACTAACAATAATGAAATGAATGAAAAAGGTGATGATTCACTTATAGATGAAACTGATACCTCTTTAAAATATACAACTATTGTAAGATTTAGTTAATATAATCATTTTTCATTGTATTATAATAATTGTTTTAGATTAATCGAAAAACAATATGGCGTACTCGTCTAAGTATGAAAAATACAAGTGTAGACGTTGGAGCATTAACAGAAGAATATGTTTATTTTATTCGAATTACAAAGGGTTATATTAATGCACCGAATGATTTAAAACAAACATTTAATTTTATGCCAAGTCAAATGCAATGGGGTTATATGCGTGGAAGTTTCCTTCAAAATTTACAAAATTTATTAAAACAAATTTATTCACCATTATTAAAAGATCAACAATTAATGTTGCATGAGAATAATCAATATCAACAGGAACTAGAAGTTTCTGAAAAAGATCAATTAGAATTAAGTGAAAATAAAGTAAAAGAACAACAAGAAAATGAAGAAATGAAACAAATAGTTGAAACAAAAGATGAATTTTTAATAAATACAAGAAAATTTTGTCGTATTGTTGAAACAACTATACATCAACTGAATAGTGATATTGTTTTAGAACTACCAAATATAGATGTGACTGAAGATGATTTAGAAATTGTGAAAAGTTCAAAATTTATTATCATTGAAAAAACTATCATATCATGGAACAGACAGGTATGATTTTTATTAGAGGGACTTTTGTGGAGATCGCAATAACTTCAGTAGTTGAGATTACAAGTCAATTGAAGCTAGACCCCCATGGAAAACGTGGAAGCACTAGATGGTTGTTTCGTCCTGTTGTAGGACTCCTTAGCAGTGCGCATCCACGACCCCGTCTCGCGGGTTTCGAACCCAGGGCCTACCAGTCTTGTGCTCGAGCACTTAACTACTAGGCCACTAAGCCGGCTGGCATCCAACGCTGTTAATGTCTAACTGCAACTAATCCACGAAATTGAACGATACAACCATCATTGTCTTCAGTGAGTTACTATCGCACAACAGACCCAGTTGAACTCTATTGGTCACTGCTTCTCAGTAGGACTCCAGGATATACCCTGTGAAGCCAGTCACTAGTGAGCATATGTTGATTAGTATCAGAATCCCGAATCAGAATCTCCACAAAACTCTTTGTGATACTCATAACTAATGATTACGAAAAAAATCCTAATGAAAGTTTTCTGTTCTCTAAAACTCATCAGTCACATTTGAAGCCAGTCGTTAGTGAGCATATGTTGATTAGTGTCAGAAGGGGTTTTGTCGAGATCGTAGTAATTTCAATAGTTGAGATCTTGAGTCATTTAAAGCTAGACCACCTTAGAAAATCTGTAAGTAGTGATTGTAATTCATTGTTATTGGTCTGTTTTGTCTTTTTCTTTCAAATATCCAGATTCGTCAAACATTAGATATTTTGCTAGAAAAAAAACCAAGTGATAATAGTCCATTGAGCTTGATTGACTACTGGCGTGATCGTAATCTAATACTTGGAACATTAATAGAACAATTGAAAAGATCAAATGTTATACGATTTTATCATTTACATCAAATATTAGAAAATGATACATATAATGCATTATTTAGTGAAACAAACAGTTTATATGTACAAGCCAGGGATAATGTGAAGTAAGACTAATCTATTTATCCATCTAATAGTTATTTTAATTCTTTTTTTTCACAATAGATTTCTTTCATTATTAGAAAGACACTTTAAAACATTAACTTTTGGCAATAAAATTGAATCATTAATTGATATTATTCATCCACTTATACAAACATTTCATATGATATGGGTTTTATCTCGATATTATAATCGTGATGAAAATATGGTACAATTATTTGAACGGACAGCATTGGCTATAACTAATCGAGTTATTCATGCTGTTAATTTTCCAAATGTATTCCGGTAAGTTTTATTATATATTATATTTTTATTATTTATACTCGATAATAATCAATATTTTTTTTAGATCTGATCTAAAACAGTCTATTTCATTAATGAAAACTATAATAAATCTTTTAAATCATTGGAAAAATGTATATTATGAAAAACGTTCTGAAATTGAAACAGTTGGTCGTGATGCTCGTTGGGAATTTGATAAAGTTAAATTATTTGGTTATACAGATTATACATGTTCAATTTGTGAAAATTTATTAGAAATATTAATAACAATCAAAGATTTTAGAAATATTTTTAGTTCTGAATTAAAATCAGTTACATGTGATACAAAGAAAATAGATGAAGCAAGTCAACGTGTTAATAATATTATTGAAATGTTTTGTCAGGTAATCATAATATTCATTAAATACAATTAATTATTTAGATGAAAATGGATCCATTTAATAAAGAAAATAAAATTTGGTGGTATAAAGAATTAGAAAAATTTCATAATCTTGTTGAACATCTTGAATATGAAGCTAATTCATTAATTAATGATTCATTTACATTATTACGATCTAGTGAATCAGTATTTGATATATGGTGTAAATTTCGTCATATTAAAACACGTTCAAAAATTCATAATTTATTAAATGAAAAATTTATAGATATATTAAAACAATATGAAAAAGAATTAATCAATATTAGTAGTATATTTCATCAAAATGCAATTTTACCACCATTTCATAATAATCAACAAAATGAAATAATGATACGTATATTAACTAAATTTATACCACCAATATCTGGTTTAATTCAATGGGAAAGATATTTATTAAATTGTATTAAAAAACCAATATTAAAATTTTTAAAAATTAATGAATTAATGAAAAATGATGAAGGAAAATCTATACGTAATCAATATATTATTATTGGTAAACAAATGAAAAATTATGAAGAACAATTATATAAATATTGGTTAATACAAATAGAACAATCATTTGATCAATATTTAAATCAAACTTTATTAAAACAACAAGATTTAATTAAATCATCAATGATAACAAGAATATCTTCTTTACCAATAAGTCGTTTAAGTTTAAATTCTTCATTGAAAAGTGAACAAAATACAAATGAATTAAGTAGAATAGCTATAGAATTCAGTAAGTGTTTGATTGATTTACACCGTTTATTATCTTTATCATTGTGTTGTTCTTTTTACTTATGTCTATAAAGTTGTATTTATATATCTGATAATAAAAAATATCGAGTTGATCTGATAGAGATTGAAAGAAGCTATCAAGAAAACCTATTATACTAAGCCCATGATTCCAAATAGACGGAGACAATGCACAAATGATTACGTCACATCCCATTGTATTTATCAACTTACATGTTTGTGTGGATACACATGCATAGGGGGAAGTAACTGAACAATTCAATAAAAGGTCATTGAGTATGTGTCTATATGGCTTCAAAACTAATTACTGTCAAATAATCCGATCACCGTGAGGGGTAGAAATCCATGTTCATCGATAGCGAAATAAATAATTGAAACAGGGCACAAAATTAACATTAATACAGCCTTTGAAACATTGTACAGAAATTTATACGAATATTCGTCAAGATTAGAACGAATAGTTTAACGGAAATTGGGCGCCGAATAAACATAAGTCATTATATGTGAAAATTATATTTGAAATAATCTCAGCGAATAAAATTTAAATAATTCCAACGTTTCGTCTAGCTAACTTGTCTGGATCCTGAAGAGGTCCAGAAATTGTTAAGAACGAATTCTCAGATTTATTAAAACATTAGCTATTTGTAAATTTACCCCCTCGTTATGTGTTCAAAAACAATTCGTCGTAACCTTGAACTTAAAATCCATATTATCAATTATCTTAAATACAAACCAACTAAACTAATCTACATAAACTGTTCAACTAATAGTTTTGTAATATATTGGTAACTGCCTATTTATTTCACAATTTCTTGCTAAACAGTTTGATCTATGATTCATCAACTGAATAATCCATAAATAAGAACTTTCGTCTAAATTTGAACGAACAGTTTCACAATATTTGGACGCCGAGTTGATGTGAGTCATTAATGAGGAAGAATGTATTTGTAAAATCTCAGCGGATGAATTTGAAGTAAATCCGACGTTCTGCCTGGCAATCTGGTCCAAGTTTTTCAAGGAAAATATAATCAAACAACAAAATTATCGAATATATCCGATACATTCGATACATTCTTCCTCTTTAATGAATAATCCATACTATAAATTTCGAGATATAAATAAAAAACAAAAGTATTTAAAAGATTGTTAGTTACTCAACCATTCTAATTCAATTTGACTATAATTCAGTGTATATGACTTGGAATAATAATAATAAGTTATGCAATGCGACTTATCTTTTGTTGAAAGATATTTCTATAAACATAATTATCTGTAATCTAGTTATGTACTGATTGGCAATGGTGGATAGTGGCTAGCAGTGGAATCCAGTTTGATGCGTGTTTCGTCCTATTTGGGACTCGTCAGCTCTATGCACCTGCATTTCAGAGCTGATGCTCACTCTAAGACCCGAACCTAGTACCATTCGCTTCAAACACCACTGTATTATCCACTCAGCTACTGAATCCTAATAGCCACTTGTTTGTGCAATGGGAGCAATTTTCAATTTGGTCAATTATCATAGTGTAATCAATCTTTTGTAAAATAAGTATTGAATAAATAAAATATCATCAACTGTTTATAAGATGGATATTAATCGCATAAATCCTTGATAAAAGAAACATTTTCGTGAAACAATGTTCCTAATAAAGAGTACTACAGTTAGAAAACATTTTATTATATTTATTTATTATACTGAACAAATGTAATTAAGGACATTAGAAGGGACTATCTTCTTAATATTAACAACTCAGATTCAGTTGACAGTTTATTTGAGATAGGATTCAACATTTAGATCATGAAAAAATATTTTGATAAATCTAAGTAAATGTGTTGTGAAGAAATTAGTCTCACATTTGGTTGAATATAGTCTATCAGAAACTCTGAACTTAAGTTTACTTATTAAGTGGGATTCTTTAGTAAAATATACCTGTAATCTTAAAGAAGCATAACTTCTGAAAGATATGGACCCACATTTTACAGTTTCACAGTCCTAAATGTTATCACCAAACTACTTGGAGTTGCTTTTGTTGTGTTTCTAAGTCTGAGTAGTTATCACTTTATATTTACCAATCAAAATACGACTTATTCGCTCTTATACTGTATTAAACCAGTGACGTTCGTCCGGTCTGATCAGCCTAGCGTCCTATTAGCCCGTTGCTCGCCTAGGCCGTCCAGCTGAGTCCGGAACGCCAAAAACAGCCTCCACTACACGAATCATTTATTTCAGACATACTGGGTTTATATACCAAACAAACAGACCGCAACGCACCATAAAATAAGAAATAAAATTCATACACAATACGGCCAAAAAGTGGCTGTGAATGTGGGAGACAGTATTAATGAATTGGGTATAACTTAAGAACAGTAAATCGTACAATAATAATATATGGGTCAAACTAAAGCTTATAGCAAGGGGAATACATAATTTAGTTACTGAATATTTATACCATAAGAATATATAAATAATATTAGTCCATTAATAGGTCTCAGAAGTTACTTGTAGTTTAATCTTCGCTAGGATATAACAGCCTTTTTTTAGACAAGTGAGATATTTAATTTGGTTAATCACTATGTATTAAGTGGTAAACACTATGTTGATATCTAGGAAAACTTCTAAGTCTTTTTTATCAGAACCCGGAAACTATATTGAAAGATCAATAACTAAACCTTTTATTATTTGACCAAAAAAGTTACATTTAACCGTTTTTATTTACTCTAGTTTAAAATGAAGTAAGCATATCTTATCTAATCAGTTCGTTCTTCCATATTTCATAAGCTTCCATGTTTAACTTCATTCATATTTATCTCTAATGTGTACTTCTACCTCGAAATATTCCTAATTGCTTATTTATCTTTTTATTCACATTATTCCACTATTGACTATTAGTACAATAATCATGAGGATAACATTTCTTCTTTACTGTATCATATTGATATGAATCTAAATTGTCCGTTATAGTTCATCATTTTAAAGAATGTTTTTTTTTCATTTTTCCATAACCTTTCAGATACACTGATGACACATTTTGTAAATAGTTCACTTGTAATCTATACAAAAATCTACTATTTATTTATATACGCTTTACAGTATTGAAAAACTTAACCACAGTTTATTTATCGTTTCGTCATATTTTTTTGGTATTAATCACTTCACATTATTGACAATTAAATTTTAGGTAAATATGAATTATTAGTTAATTTTCATCCGAATATCTTGGTAACAATAACAGAAGCAAAACATTTGGAAGCGTTAGGATTTAAAATACCAGAGATTGTTATAAATGCTGTAATGAAAGTGAGAACTAATGAATTGTTTGTTTCTTTTTGAATGTATTTTTCTCAACAAAAAAATGTTTCAGAAGTGGTGTTTTGTGGAGATTTTAGTAATTTTAATGGTTGAGATTGATAGGCAGGATCGTGGATATGCACTGCTGAGTCCCACAATTGCACGAAACGGACGTCCAGTGCTTCCAGGTTTTCCATGGCGGTCTAGATTCAATAGGCTCATGACCTCAACCATTCAAAAAAATGTTGTTTCTTATACATACACGCTTATCTTAAGCATTTGGTTATGCTTTTTTAAAAGAAAAACAGTAAAAAGGTATAATGGATTAACGTATTTGTTAAATTGATGGTTTAATATAATATGCTTTATACCTAGTTAAGGTAAATTAGCTCTTTAATCCAAATCATGATGACTTGAATCAAACTATGAGTATCAAGAACATTCATCTTTTTTCTTTTCTTTAAAAAAACCCTGATGGTCTGTATGCTTGATGTTGAGTTTCATATTACTTTGTTACCAAGATCAATGCAATATTATACATATCATAGGTTTAGAGTTTTGTAATGGTTACGTACTACTAACTAACTAACATCTAAGAAAACTAAGGCAATATTATCATCGAAACTGACAGTTGTATTTTACTCTGACCGATAGAACTTCATTAGAATAAGGACGTAGACAACAGGATCTCGGTTACCCTTATGCGATCATCATATGTAAGAAAGAACACTACATTTTACAAATGAGATGAAAACTGTATTTTTTGGTAAAGATAAACAGTGGTCTTGGGTGCTGTTAGAGGTATGATGGCGGTTATCGCTTCCCGGTTGCCCACACCGTGGAAGGGTTGTTCTGGAGTTATCTGAAAAGTAAATTGGATTAGAGGTGGTGTTAGTAACCTTTTTATGAGTAATTTTTGTGTTAGCTCCATACTTGTTGAGACCTTACCGCCGGAGACAGATATCCGTGGGATAAGGCGAGGTGTGCATTTTCAGGGTCGACCTTTTCTAACCCCACCCCTCCTCGTGCGAAGGCAGCATCGGTGTTATACTGGTTGTCTGAGGGAAACACCTAACTGCTGTCACACCTCTGTACACTCAGCAGTACGACTTCACCTTCGGACCTTGGGTTTATTGCTTTTAGTCTTACCGCTCTTCAACCAACCTGTCTGACATGGTAGGACCTTGAGGAACGGTTGTTTCAGCCAGTATAGCTCGGTTGCTTCATCACAATAGGCAAGCCCGACCACCACGTCAAGGTAGCAACAACGGTCGGGTTGGTAAGGGTATGTTTGAATTGTTATGGTATAACGCAATCAGCTCACGAATTCGATTTATATCACAATTTATTGCTGTACGCAAATCTGAATAGTACCATTTGAGTCAGACTTTATTTATCGTTTAGTAAAATATAAAAAGTTATATGTGTTATTACTTGCCGAAGAACTTTTTACTGCGTTTCTGACATTTGGGTTGTTGAAGGTAGTCCACAGAAAACCCAGATGGCTCACTGTTAAAGTCTCAGACCAGTTATCTCAATACTGCAGGTATGCCTTGCTGATGAGTGCCACATGCCATGAAACCCAGCTTTAAGCTATTTTGCCAACTCCCATCCAACCACCTAACATTATAATATAATTTAGGTGGTGTTGAGTCAGCTAGATTATTGGTCATACTGAGAATTAATTGAGAAAATCCAATTTACAATAAGGGAAAGACAAACATGATATGGGTTACCATTTAAGATATACCGAATTGTTCCAGCAACATCCTATTTTCCATACGTTAGTATATGTATTTATATTATTACCATTTCTTATCATTTAAATAGGAATCTAGCTATATAGTTTATGTGGAGAAGTTGAAATTTTTAGTTAAACGATGTCATGAATTATTTACACAACTTGATCCCGTTGAATTAACTATACTGGAATCATATATCATCAACTTGAGAACAATTATGAAACCTGGATGGGATATATTGAATTGGAAAAGTCTTGGTATAAATGAATTTATTACAAAAGTAGAAGAAGAATTAAATCGATTCGCTTCCATGTGTAACTTATGCAAAAAAACAGCCGCAGATATTGAAGCGCGTTTAGAATTAATTGGTTTAGCTGATTTATTTCCAACACCCAAGTGGACAGATGAATATCAGAAGACAGCAATGGGAGAATATTTCACATGCAAGGTAATTAATACCAATTTCGATTATCTTATTATTCTAATATGATTAACTGAAATATGGTGTATCAATGAACTTGTTAATTGAAGTTAGACGATTTTGCTTATTTGACAATCTGACTATGAATAACACCTTTGAATATTGGAGACTTTAAGATCATCCACTGAATGCATAACTTGCAACCGTGAATATAATTTATTGAAACCTTTCGTTAAATACGGAAAAAACCTGACAAATACCTATTTTTAGCTATTTTACTGTTATTATCGAATCTACCTAAGTAACAGTAATATTGCTTTACGTAAAAAGAAAGATATTCAGGCGTTGAACAATATGATTGCAAATAAGTGCGAACACTGTAAATGTTAGAAATTGATTTCACAATAAACCACAACAAACAGTGAATAATTAATTTATCTAACCCATGTTTTTGTATTCTAGATTTAAGTAAGCGATATAACGTATCTTGGTATGGTCATCAAATGGTACTTACAAAACTATTATGCAACCTTACAACGAGATTTTCCACTACTTATTACCTAGTATTTTTATGACGATTGAACTTACTCATGAAGTAATTTATCCAGCTGTTAATACGTTTTACCCTCTCTGTTGAAACGTAACATAGAATTATTTTAGTGAAAAGGTTTCCTTGTAATCAACGTTTTAAGAATTCATTTACTAACCCAATGAAAAGCCTACAAATATGATGGTCTTTAGTCGATCTTTTTTTTAATAACAGTGAGATTTCTAATCTTTTGTCAATGATAAATGGGTAAATAGAATAACAAAACGAAATCTTACTAAAAAGAGGATAAATCTGAGATAATACACTTTGTAGCATGATAGAAACAGAAAAATAAATGTAAATAAAGAAATATTGAATATATGTTAAACAATCACATAAAGAATACTTAATCAAACTGTTCAGAACTAATAACAGTAAATACATCTAGACTACGAATTCATGGTATTATTAAAGTTGGATTTCAAATGACATACTTCTACGACGTTTAAGAACTAAAGATGAATAGATACTATAAATATATGCTGTTTTTTACTCATAACATCAGTTATATTTGTGGAATATGATGACAGATTTAAATTAATCAGGTACTTTGGTTAAGGTAAGTAAATCATTGTTATGTAATACGACATTTATTCAAAACGTTTAACACGAATAACTAATACCAGTTCATTCGTGAATGTGGTTGTTTAATTCTTATTAAAGCCAAATATAAAAACTGTACAAATCAATATATATTTGCTTAAATGTAACCAAAATTCAGAAATTGTGTAATTTGTTTGATGTAATTAAAAGTTAGTTATATGATTTTGATTTTATTCCTCCCTTTTTATACAGGAATATTTTGCACAGACAGTTATTGAAAGACAGAAACAATTTGAAGAGTTACGTATGCAACATACCTCATTGACACCATTGATTATTAAACTTGAAGGTGCAATAACTCAGCAAAATACAGGGAATAGTAAAATAATGGTCCCTTATTTTGAATATTGGGAGAAAAAGCTATTCGATCGAATTTATGCGGTAACTATGCAATGTTATGAGACCTAACATTCAATTATATATATATATATATATATATATATATATATATATATATATATATATATATATGATAATGCAAATAAAAGACCAAACCAATCTAAATTAGACCGCCATTGAGAACTTGGGAGCATCGGACGTCCGTTTTGTCCTAATACGGAGTCCCCCAGCAGTGCTCATTTGCAATTCCCCATACAGGATTCGAACCCGAGGCATGAACGTTTGACTTTCTGTTCCACTGACGGGGTCATGAATGAGCACTGCTAAGGGATTCAATACTATTAAAAAACGGCCATCGGATTTCAAATGGTACCTGATTTTAGTGAAATCCAACAATCTCCACAACTAACTGAAAATTTTACACATAGCGATAAGTATATAAGGCTAGGTAAAGCACAAATCTATCTATCTATCTATCGATATCAGTTTTGTTATTGTACATGTTAGTATATATTGACAGAACTCTTTGATGTAGAGGACTGTAATATCATGGTTTAAAATTCTCTATCCAGTTCAACTTACTTTCTTATCTTGGTGTAAACACATGCTCGTTCTAATTCTAAAACAAGGGGTTATACACTGTGCGAAAAATATGTAAAAACCTTTCCAGTTGATGACCAACAAACAAATTTCACAAAATAATGAGGAATAAAACGTATTATTGATATTAGTTATATTTGTTTCATTATCTCAGTTCATCCCAATGAATCGTGGTTCTTGTCACCTAGAAATATAATTAATTTTACGTTGAGTAAATTGTTGACAAAGTACTATTTTAAGTATTTCAGTGAACATATCCCATTGTCCAGTAGATTTCCATCATTTTGGAATATTATTTGATTTGCAAACTGTCAGACTACTGATATTCTAAACTTTGATGCAAATGTTATTCTAGACATGACTGTGCGTGTGAAATATCAGCGATACATGACCATGTTTTTCAGAGTAAATGATGATCAATAAAAAACACTTTCATTTATCAGTACTCTTAAAATAATCAACATTTGTTTATATTTTAGAAGGTATAAAAGTTCACAATAAACATAAGGCTCTCAAATATTATTGAACTACCCATCAACCTGGTGGACTAAGCTAATCTTCATTGTATTCGATAATATTCAACGAAAAATTTTCTCATATTCCATTTACTGCTTGATAAACAAATAATCTAATCAAGAAAATAACTCGTATAAAATGTTTAGTAAATAAAGAGGGAATGAATCGATCTGATTCGAGCTCTATTCGTTCCTTCTTTATTTACCAAATGTCAAAATGGGAATTTTCACTATATTGAAACGTTTTGAACAAACATTTGCTTTAAAGATTCTCAACGAGTATCTGAAGTATAGCGCAAGGCTCAGTGAAGCGAAGACAAATGTTGATTGCTCGATTCGTTTCTTGTTTATTTATCAAATGTCAAAATAGGAATTTTCACTATATAATATTTAAACAAATAAAAACATTTATAAGATATGACAAGAATGACTGGAAAATGATAAAGTTATAGCCAGTTAGGCATGTGAAATACCTCGTAATATATCTTAGGGTGTAATTATCTTTTATGATGAAATAAATCCTGTTGATTAACATTACAACGGTCTCATGAATATTATTCTATATTGTATCATAAATACCTCATTATATCAAAGCCAATGTAACGATTTCAAGTTTCTTTACTATTACGTATTTTTGATTGTGTTTAGATTTTCTTATATTTTATTTTATTTTGAGATGGTGATTAGAAATCTTCAATCATATTTAAATCGTATTTCTCGTCAACAAGAGCCATTGTTTGCAGTTGATCTTATGTTAGCTGGAACAGATGTAGTTGGTAATCCACAGCCAGCTGAACTTTATCGACTAGTCATTCAAGTAATGATATATAAAATTAACTTAAAAAATTTCCTTTTCACTAACCACAGGTTTTAAAACAATAGTCAGAACAGATTTAGGCGAGTCTATAATTTATGGACGAATCAATCAGGTATAAGATAACAGGTCTCGGATTTTAGCGCGAAATTCATCCATCCATTTGGCTTAATAGAATTTTGGCATTATAGTTGATGTCAGTTCGTGATGAAAACCCTAAATCTAATTCCTAACCCTAACCATAAACTGTAAATCATAATTCTAATTCATCACATTGGTTTATAACCCTCATTTCGTCTTAGTTATTAGGTGAACACTCCCAAGGTCACTTTAACCTCGCTCAAAGGTCGTCCATAAATTATATTCTCATTGATAAAATTAATTCTTTAACTTAGAACAACTAATATTACATTTTAAAAATATCACTTTAGATGCATTACAATGAAAAAGTTGGCCAAATAGTTTGAGTTCGCTTATTTAGTGATGAAACAGGTTGCCCAATATATTTGGAAGCATCTAAACTTGCGACTGAGACTACGATTACTTTAGTTAAGTTGAAGTAAAGTTCCCTGAGATATGATACTATGCACTTTATTTTCATTTAACTAATTTTAGTTATTCTATTCGTCTGCAATATTTTAATTGTCGTCTTAAACAAAAGTATCAACAGTTAATTTATTACTTAACTAGAGGCCAGTTGTCAATAATATGGCCAGCCGTATTCATAAAATTTAGAAACTGCATATCACGATGACCACTATTTATATCACTGTGCTTACATAGAAACAAATAAATGAATAGCAACAATCAAATATAACTCAACTGCTCACATATTGTTCGAGTTTCAGTAAATCAAGGATATGATTTTTTGAAGAATGGTGAATATATTCAAATAATAAGTTCAACCAATACCTGATCAAGTAGTTCTTCCTGATAAAAGATTACCTTATCCACCTCTACGTAGTAGTGTGTTTTATATATGCCTTTTAATGCTATATAAGATGTGTTTTATTTTAAAGATAATTATATACTATTATTACTGTAACATATTAATTTTTTTTTCTATTTTCCACCTCACTCGAAAGGAATTAAGGGATGCGATTGAATCAACACGTGTATTCGTTAGATGGTATCGTGGTTCATGTGTAATTGCTCCAGGTGTTAAGATTGATGGTAGTGAAGATTTACACTATTTTACTTTTTATGAAGAAATTGCAAAATCCAGTGAAATAGCTGATTTAGTTCAACAAATTGCAAAAGTTTATGCGAATACAGTTGAAAAAGTGAAACGATTTCAAGATAGTTGGCGTAAACATAAAGGGAAATTTGTTGCCAATAAAGTGAGTACAATAAATCCGAAGGGGTAATCGTTTGCTCACTAGTGACTGACTTCGAGAGATACTCCTGGAGTTCTAGTGAGAAGCCGTGACCAGTGGAGTCCAACCAGGTCTGTTGTGAGATATCAGCCCACTGAAGACAATGGTGTACGGTGGCGCAACTTTGTGGATTGGTTAAAAATAGACATTAACACCGTTTGATGCCGGCTTAGTAGTCTAGTTGGTTAAGCGCCTAGCGTGAGACTGATAGGTCCTGAGTTCGAATCTCGCGGGGGGCGGGATCGCGGATGCGCACTGCTGAGGAGTCCCATACTAGGATGAAACGGCCGCGCAGTGCCTCCAGGTTTTCCATGGTGGTCTAGTTTCAATTGACTCATGATTTCAATCAGTGAAATTTCTAAAATCTACACAAAACCCTTTCTGAAGAATAATCATTATTTTACTGGGAACATTATGATATTTCATATGACAAAACTTTATTCCTAAAACAACAAAGCGGTTTATTGTTTCCTGGTCTTTTTGATAATTCAAGATGTATGTCAATTCCTATTTTTGTAAGCTGATATAATGAAAATAAAAGATTCAGTATTTTTCATCCTAAATAAAAATAAATAATAATAGCCCCCAAAATATCATTCGTTAAACAATCATGATAATAAATACGATTGACTGTAATCTTAAAAGGAAATATATACTTAGCAGCATATATATATATAGTGTCTCTCTGATATTACACAGAAAGTGGATATAACCAGTCCATTTGCAGTAGTTGATAAACAGTAAATTTGGAACAAATCGGATGTGACTAGCAATGAACGCGCGTTTTGTCCTATTAGGAACTCGTCACCTAGATTTACCTACATCCCAAGGTTGATGTTTACTCAGGGATTTAAACCATGTACTATTCGCTTCAAACCCCAAATAAGTCATCTACTTATTTACTAAGTCCTGATAGCTACTCACTTGTGCAACCGGTATGAATTTTATTTTAACCAATAAGAAGAAACACGCTTCTTGAGTTTCATCGCTAGTCACATTCTATTCCATATAAATTTGTCTTATAATGGTTTTATCTAGGCGATCTGCTCAGGAGGCACGCGTACCAGCTAAGACTTATCAAAAATCAGTTCAGAATACAAACGAAGAAACATTAACAACCATTAAATTGATAAAAAGCATTTATTTTTATCTACTGAAGACCTGAGGCTATAGTAATTTGCAAAGTCAAAACCGAGACTTTTGTTTGAAACAAGTCGATAACTAAGTTTTATCCTACTTGATAAAAGCGATGAACATTGAAGATAACTATGAATAAAATTCTAAACGTTCAACTCAATTTATTTATTTCTATTCCCCTAAACATCTTTGCAATATACACGAATATCTTCCATAATATTAACAAAATGTCATTTCAATTATTGTTAATTATCAACTCATCATTCATTTAATTCAATTTAGATTTAGATTTAATTCTTAAAACAATGATGATCAATGTTGGCGATGGTTGAAAGAAAGTTAGGGGCGGCTAAACCAAAACGTGGAATCAGTACTTGAAGTCACTAACTTCTAGTCTGAGCCATGTCAGCAGATACAGACTACTTGGTTGGGGTCCACACGACTATCGTAATCAATGGTTGGAGACTGGGTGACATAGCTTAGAATCGATTACAAGGGTGTAGGTGTATACACTATTTATCTTCCGCTAAACCATGGGATTAAATTTACTTTATACTTTTTTTCTACCAACTAGTTCTTTCTCCCTGTACCATATGGTTATATGAAATGTTTATTTTATTACCATTGAATTGACTGCTTCTATGAATCCGTTGTTCATCTTGTTGTGCTAATGGGGTGTGGCAACTTAGATCGATGCATATATGTGCCTTGTCCTACGTTATAGCTGACTGACTGACTGACCTAAGACAATTTACTGTTTTCTCTTGGACAATTTGTTAGGAACTTCTCATGTCAATGTTTACTTGAATATTTGATTAATCAGACTTGTCATCTTCTTTGTAGCTGCGAGTAGAACAAAAAAAATAATCTGTATACATCTTATTCCGAATTTCTAACCGGTTAATGTTTCGTTAAACATTTGTATAGAGCATATATGATCAAAAATATAAATTTACTATTTTAGTTAACTCAAGTGGAAAAATGGATGGAAACACCTCGTACTGCAATTGAAATTCATGAGAAAATATTAGAAATGAATAATAAATTAAATGATTTATGTGAAACACCTGAATTATTGAATATTGGTTGTATACAATTAAGATTAAAAAGTTTAATTCATAATATACATGAACATAATAGAAAATGGACAATAGCCTATGGTAAACAACTTCATGATATTGGTAAAGAAATGTTGACAAGTTTACATGAAGAGTTCAAAGTAAATCAATGTTATCATTTATGTCTTCATAATATATATGATATAATATAATAAATTTAATTGTTCTGTTCAATTCTATAAGTGTACAACACGTCCTAATCATCTGTTTAATAAGTACTCTAAATAGAGTCTTGAACCCTTTATACTACAAAATCCGATGTCCCTCTCTCTAAATACTCCCTCTCTAGGATAATACACTTGTTCAATTTCTATTTTCATTACTCAATACATCCCGAAACTCTTAAAAGTAATTTGTTTCGGCTGTTTGATTTCATAGCTTACTAAAATCATTTCTACAGACAATTTTTCAGATTCCGTTTTTCAGGAATGATCCATCGAAACAAGAAGACCATAATACACATATAATGTATTCATAAACATACAAAACAAATAATGATCTTGGTATTGAATCATTCTTGTTGTTTCCATAAACTCCACTTGAATAGGACCACTTTTCAGTTTTTTGTTCTTATAAACATCTCGGAACATTTTATGGATTTCTTGAGAGATTTTCCCAAGTTTCATCAAAAACCTTAGTACCTCAATCCACGTGTCTGTAAGACAGATCATGTGATAATGTCCAGCTTTGTTGTCCGAGATTACGTGTAGGGACAATGTAGCTGACGTACCGATTGATACAAAAGTGAATGAATTCTGTTATATTTTGTGTAAGCTGAACATAATGAAGAATTTCTCCGATTTACATTACATTGATGCTTAAATTTGCTTCGACTTCATGTCATGTTAGCGAGCTTAGAAAACTTGAACTAAAATTCCCTGTAAAGTTTATTGTTGAATAGATGATAAACCAATATGCTATATCAGATAATCTTCAAAAATCAAAATTTCTGTAGAAACTATTATGAATGTATATATCAAGAATTAAGTTATTTCACAAAAGAAGGTTATAACATTCTTCAATAACAAATATTGTTACTTACAATATACGTTTACAACATGTAAATTCTTAAATATAAACTCAACTATGATAGATTTACATACTGGTTAATCTCCACCGATAGATCAAACAGAACTTAAGAACTCTAAAGTAGAAAGTCATAAGATAAGTCACTCATTTCCACCTTAATATTCTGATGATTATGTGAAATCAAAATAGAGTTATCTGAGGGAAATAAAGCAGACTAACGTGAAGAATAGACTAGTGATTTTTACCACGAAGTGAGAATAACAACGACAGTATATCCAGTTAGACATCATTTTAACGATGTAGAAATATGATGGTATATCATAAATTACACATTAAGTTCTAATCAGTTAGAGATGTATTAATTATTTGCAATAATTTTATTAAAATGAACAATAGAGATATGAATTTTGGCTTTATCGTGTTTTCTAAATAGAACAGCTTAACTACAATGATTTAGATGATATATCCCTTTGCGAAGCTGACGTAAATGTTACCCAGACTATCATCTAAATCATATATATATATATATATATATATATAATAAACTACTTTCAAACCTCCAGACCAGATTTATATTGTTCTGTAACTTTTTGTTTCTTCTATTCTTTATTTCAACATTCAGCATCGATCCGAAGATCTAGAAGATGTGCCAACAACACTGACTGAATTAAAAGATATTTTGCGTGCTATTCATGAAATCAGATTAACAACATTGGAAACTGAAGAAAAATTAATCGATATTGAAGAACGTTATCGTTTATTAAATTATCACAATTTACCGGTACCGGAAAATGAAATTGAATCAGTAAAAAGTTTACGATCAGTATGGATGAATTTAGTAAAATTTGCAAATTATAAAGAACATACATTGAGTCGAATCAAAAACAAATTTGCTAAAATTACTTTAGAAGATATTACAAAGTTTAATCAGTTGGTGATTGAGTTTGAAAAACGTTTCACAGAAAATGGTCCTGGCACATTGATCAATGATTTGGATTTAGCTGTAACATCTGCAAAAGTAATTTAAATGCCTAACATTTGCTTTTATAAATGGCCAATCATTGAGTAGTGACCATTGTCATATTTGCTTAGTCCTTTACTGCTGTTCGAATTCTATCGATCAAGATGAGACGTGAACACTAATCTAAATCACTCGATATCATTTGTACAAAGTTGAAATTTTAGATGGTTGAAATTAATTTTCTACAGGAAACTCTTGACCTAGATTTTATGCTATCTAGAACTCGTCAGCCAGTTGTACTGGCAACTTGGCTTTTGAATTTGAAACACTCCCTCAGAGACCTAATATTCTTGAATACGGTCTTTGATAAGTTCTTGGATGTATACGTATATGTATATGTAGTGGATATAGAAAATGCATAAAAGATTAAATATTTGTATTAAACAGTCGTCTGACAGTGTGAGATTATTATTATTTTTTAGTAATTTTCTGTTTCTCATTTTCTCCTTTTCTTAAAAAAATTAATCACTTTAGGAGTATCATGAAGAACTAAATGAACTTGAAATTAAACGCAAAGAATTAACATCAGCTGAACAACTTTTTAATTTACCATTAACTCAATATCCTCAATTAATTAATATTCAGAAAGAATTGAATGGATTAGATCAGTTATTCAATATTTATTTGAAACAAAAGGTAACAGAAATAAATCTTTATTAACCTGTCTATCCCTTTTCAAGTTAATATGGAATTTAATAGTTGAATTCATGAATCGATGAAAGCTAGACCAACATGGAACATCTTGAATTACTGGACGGCCGATTCGTCTTAGTATAGGACTCCTTAACAAGGCACATTTACAATCTCACAACCGGATTCGAACCCAGGAACTTCGGTCGTGCTTGTGAACACTTTTGTGCACACAGTTTAAGCTTCAGTTCACGGTAGGCAAAAGTGTCTTATGTTTTAAGGATTGTAGTACAAAGAAAACCTTATACATTTGGGCAAATTCTACAAAAGCCTTAGAATCAATGTTTCGATCAGTGAAATGATTAAAATCGATTAAATGTTCAAATATGGAATTCCTAACAACTTTCTTCTCATCCTTGTAGAAACACACTAGAGCATTTTCTTGTATCTAGGTTGAAAGCAGGCTCTGGCTGCACCCTATTTACTTCGCTTCACATCGGCAGATGATTTCGTAAACGCATACAAAGGTAGTATACTCATGAACGGAGAACTAAAATCAAGCGAGAACATGAGTTCTCTCGATGTATAAACATTAGTAATACTATCAACTATGAAAATAATTGAAAAGTACCATAAACAGTATATTGAGATACATCCCTCCTAACTAGTTTTAATTATTGAGCCAACTATTGTGTGATTTAATGATATTATGAAATAGACGTATTCTAGATAAGAAGTAACGGTTATTTAGGCTCATTTACTTTAAGTAATCCATATAAACACCCATCTGTGGTGATTATCCCATTATCTTTCAATTTTTTCATGAAATCAATATGCCGTTTTTCAATCTGTGAATTTACAAACAATACTTCCTCAAAAAGATATTTGGTTTTTGTCGAGTAATTATTTATCATTACCATCGAGTTTATAGTTGAAATAACTTTGCTTTAAGTTGGTATTAACTACTGATCAAAATGACCGTCTAATTTATTTGAATTTATTTATTATTTATTTATTTATTTTAACACATAGATATTGGTACAAGGAGGCACCAGAATAGATATGCGCCACATAAATCATTCGATTTGTGTGAGGGCTGTGACACTGCCCGGGTGCCCAAACCGAAGCAGGTGGTTCTCTTAGGGTACCACACACGAGCCTTTGACCTTAAGGTCTGACTCACAAGGCAGTGGAGCGTCGTGAGATGCAGTCCCATGGAAGCCGGTGACCAACGATTGGTTCATACGCCATTTGTTTCCTCAGGATACTGGGGCCCATGTGCACCATTGGTTTGGGATCCGGTTAAAGCGCCGGACATTCGCTTTTCTTCCTCTCATTTTCGTAAACAACACCCCCGCCACGAGAAGGCAATGAGTAGGACTTCCCTGGCAGAGGCTGTATACGCGTCGCCGTGTGAGAGTATTTCGAGAGAGAGGGCGGACCCACGCTACTCTCGGCCATACCAGGGCATTTGGGGGCAATATTAATATTAGTATTTCAATATTAACAATTTCAAACGTTAACATATTACATAGATACACAAATTATAGACTAAGTTAACAGTAAATAATATTTTTCCTTGTTAATACTGAACAACGATTGTGTATTATCATAAGTAATCTATTTCTAGGACAATTTTTAAAAAAGATTTATAGTAGATTAAAAATTATGTAATTTCTATAATAATTGTGTACCTTTTAATTCTGGAGAATAAGTTGTTCAATGTTATCCATTTTCAAGTATATCGTTTCATGATTAATGTTATTGTCATCAATTTAGATGGTAATAATCTTAATGTTTTACAGTTTGCATAATAGATTCACCTTTGCCAGATGATAAGTAAAAACATAAATGGATAGTCAATCATTCATGTGAAATATAAAACTCGACTATATCTGTAGTTCGTCCGTACTAATGACTAGTTTTGTAATGCAATTCTAAGAGCTCTATTGAGAAGCCATGAACAATTAAATTTTACAGTGTTAACAATTACACATTTAACTACCGATGAAGTTGGAAGATGTTCATATAATAACACGAATCAAATGAAGTTAGAAATATAAACCACTGTATACCGTATCAGTGGTCTAGATGTTAAGCCTTTCCTGAAAGGTTTAAAGATCCTAGCTTAGATCCCCGACGTGATCGCGGATCCATAGCGTTAAGGAGTTCCATATTATTACGAAACAACTCTTTAGTTCGCTCAGATTTCCAATGGTTTGGTAACTATAATCAATGGATCATGTAAATCATAAGCTTCAACAACCTTGACAAACTCCCTAATAATATTGTTATCATTTATATTCGAATTTTTAGCAAGCTCGTGAAGAATGGTCACAAATATTATGGAGAGATTTGAATATATCAATTTTACAAAGTGGTATTGAAAGTTATTTAAAAGATCTAAGAAATTTACCAAAATCTGTTAGAACTCTACCAATCGGACGTGTAGTATTTGAACAAATTCGCACATTTCGAGATTCATTACCATTGTTTCTGGATTTAAAAAATGAAGCTTTAAGAGAAAGGTAAAATTTATTACATTATTCACTATTGTTATTAAATATTATTTCTTTGAATAATGTTATTCAATTGAAGATCTAATATGAATATTTGTCTGTGGAATACAATTTAATTCGATGTGTGATTTATTTCAATAGTATATTTGAATGAGTTTCACTGTCATAATTTCATTTTCATTCATTATTATTGACAATAACATTAGAAATAAAATTGATAGTTTTAGGTAGAAAACCTTGGAGTTAGTTTGCTTTAGATTTTTATACAGCCTTTTTGAAAAACATTATGTTTTAAGAATTTCACAAGTGTAATTTAAAAACCGTTCGATACAGAGATTTATTATACTAATCATATCAGTCGCCATTCTGTCTGTGTTACTTTTTATCACTATCAGAAGGGGGTTTTGTGGCTATTATAGTAATTTTATAGTTGAATTCATGAGTCAATTAAAGCTAGACCATCATGGAAAACTTGGAAGCACTTGGTGACCGTTTCGTCCTATCGTATAGCTCCTCAGCAGTGCGGATATACGATTCCGCTCATGGGATTCGAACCCAGGTCCTTCAGTCTCGCACGTGAACACTTGACCTACTGGACCACTGAGCCTCTATACTAGTGATTTTATAGTTGAATTCATGAGTCAATTAAAGCTAGACCATCATGGAAAAACTGGAAGCACTTGACGACCGTTTTGTCTTAGTATGGGACTTTTATGCTTTTTACTACGTAGATGACATTACCTAATAGTCAGTTGTACTACAAATGATGAATAACATCTTTTAAAAAAAAAATGATTTGTCCTCTAGACATAAGAAACAGATATACAATGATTCATTTTTACGTTAATTGATATTTATTATTTTCAGTGATAACAGTAGAATAAATTACATAAATAAGCGAAAAGTACAAGTCGGTAGTGTGATGACAGGTATACTAGTTGTTATAAGAATAATAAAGGCTTGAATCAATGTTACATAATGGGAAATAGGTCAATGATTAGAAGAATATAAACAGTCAAATAACATTAATAAAATTTATAAGATTGCGTAATAAGAAGCGTTCAGATAATTGGACCGTGAAACGTATATTTGAGAGAAAAAATGGTAGGAAGGGGTGAAAAAAATAAACGAAGAGAGAGTATGGAAAATAATAATAAATAAAATCATTTATCAAGGCCAAGGGAGAGATAAGGGTATAACAAATTTCTTATGAACACAAAGACTTAGATTATTGGCTCGAATTCCAATAATTTCTGTTATGTGTAAGAGACGACATCGAACACCATTTATTATTTTCGTTATCAAGTTTGACGGGTTGTTGATCCGAGAATAATTTGGATAAATTTATTAAATTTAGTTTTAAATTCAAATATTTTTTTCTTTCACAAATTCAACAGACATTGGAATGAATTGATGCGTAAAACAGGACAAACATTCGATATGAATCCAGAAACATTTACATTGGCAAATATTTTCTCCATGGAATTACATCGGTTTACAGATCAAATATCTGAAATTGTAGCATTTGCAATCAAGGAATTAAGTATCGAAAAAGTATGAAGCATTGGATTACTTTTTTAAGACAATTCGAGTATTTTTAAACTTGAGTATGTTGTATAGTTTCTTATTATTGCTAATAGAAATACAATAGTTGAGATCATGAATCAATTGAGGCTAGATCACCGTGGAAAACCTGGAAGCACTGGACGGCCGTTTCATCCCAGTATGAGACTCCTCAGCAGTACGCATCCACAATCCCGCCTCGCGAGATTCAAACTCAGGACTTGTCGGTGATTTAGAGAATTGGATTTTATATAATTTAATAAACTAATCGCTAAAAGACAATCAACTAAATTTAAAACTATGTCCAAGGTTTTTGTTCGCCAGTTTGATTCTAGCTTTATCAAGGGAATAGTCAAAGTTGCCAACTCTAAATAATGATGCAAAACATCTATGTGTTAACTCACTGTCTAATCATGTTATGTCGTTGAGTATGGATTTTTGAGATATTGGAATATTGGTCATTCCAAATCCTGTTAAACAAAGATATACATATGCGTTCATGTAAACCTGTTGGGAAAAAACCATTGATTATACATACCTCTGGACAATAGATGAGAACATATTCCTTGTAATAATCATTTGCTCACTGGTGACTAGCTTCAAGATGCAACTCGTGAAGTTCTAGTGAAAATTCATGACCAGTAGATTTCAACTACACCGGGAGCGGAACAGTTGTCTACCCGAGACATTGTATGAAGGTTGCGCAGTATTGTGAATTGATTATGGTTAGATACTAACACCTGTGGATACCGGCTCAGTGATCTAGAGATTAAGCGTTTACACTCGGGACTGTGGACACTCGGTTAAATTTTTATATGACGGATCCCCATACTAAGATAAGATGCCAGTCCAGTCCTCTTAGGCTTTCAATGGTGGTTTAACTAAAATCAGTTTGTGATTTAAACTATAGAAATATTTTTATTAACTATCAGAACTAACACACAATTAGACATTTAACTGAGTTTCGAGTTCCAACTCGTTTCTACACGTTTTGACATGGCCAACTGAATAAAACCATCGAACATTATACAAACAAGATTGTAATTTCAAACAGCGAACAGAAATATTCCTTATCTTAAAATATACATATTAAACGGAATAGTTGATATTTGTTAATGTACTTTTTCGCTGTGTCCACTAACATATCTAAATCCTTTTGAAGAGACCTTTCAACCGATAATAAATAGGCTTATAATATATGGTTAATTTTTTGAAGGGTGTTAAAGAAGTTGAAGAAACTTGGCAAAATCTTAATTTCAATGTTATCAGTTATGTGAAAGCAGGTCAAAATAGAGGATACGTTTTAGGTGCACTAGACGATATAATTCAAATACTTGAAGATAATTCAATGAATTTACAATCAATGGCATCAAGTAAATTTATTGGTCCATTTTTATCAACTGTACAATTATGGGAGAAAAATTTAAGTATAATTAGTGAAATAATTGAAGTATGGTTAATTGTTCAACGTAAATGGATGTATTTAGAAGGAATATTTATTGGCGGTGATATACGTGCACAACTACCAGAAGAAGCTGCCAAATTTGACAACATTGATAAAATGTTTAAAAAGGTAATTTACTGAACTTGTGGTCATGTTTTCTTTCATTCTTATATTTTACGTCACCGGTCATATATATATATATATATATATATATATATTATTTATACGCTAGTATTGTGAACATTATTGACACCAATATGGTCAACAATACCGGTTCCTTAAACCTTTCAAATTTTCGATTGACAATCACATCGCTTACAAAGTAATCATAACAGTATTGACATAGTTGGTTGAATTATTGATCAACAACACTAAAAATATCAGATATATTTTGGGAATAAACAAGCAACAGCTGTTGTTGCTGTGAGACATTCATGTTAGAAATAAATAAAATGGCAAGATCAAGATATTAATTCAATGTGATTTATGTTCAGTATGACTTCAGTTTTTAATTCAGCATGACAACTACTCAGTTTAATATATCTATTTCATTTTCAGTGTGATATTTTGAACGTTTACTCAGGATAATATGCTTTATGCTAATTTAGTGTGAACTGTTTTCACTAAATCATATAACTTGAGTAAGCCTAGTAGTAAAGAGTATTTCTTCCATATATGATCTAATATTTACTAATCATTAAGTGTGTGTAAAACCATCATATAAATGAGTGAACGTTTGTACTTAAGTTCATCTGTTTTGAATGGTGAAATAAATCTTCATATGCATCTGTTTTCATGTTCTTATCAGTGTCGTGGAAATCTTTGGGGTTTACAGCTTCGAACACCAAAAGTACTATTGCTGTTACAGTAGTAGTACCTAATTATAAATTTTGAGGGTACAAGCATAAATATTGGAAATATGGTGAATGGTTTAGGTGTTATCGAAATATGTGCTTGATATGTCTTGATGCACAAGCATTTTGCCTAAATATGAAAAAGATATAGTATGGTGAGAAACAAGTAATCGGTTTTAGCCACATTCGAACTTGAATCTAAACTTGTGTTGGCATCATTATTAGAGCTTATTGTCATTGAAGAAGTAATCAGTAAACAAGTTAATAAAACTATAATAACCGATTAAATCATTTTAAAATTAGTAAAATCATTGGGTGACACATTAAGGGAGTGCCAAAAGTGAAGGTATGGAAATTCATTCAATAATGGTGGAGAATGTATAAGTACTAAATTTGAACCGAAGTGAAGACTATCAAACTATAATAGACAATAATTTCAATGAATGACTAGGATATATTTCGACAGAAATGGTTTTTAAGTAGTGACAAAAATATAACTGAATATTTATCAGTCAAAATTAACATTTCACTTTATGATTTCATTATGACTAATAGAATTAGTTGAAAATGGTTTTTATTTCATTTCTGTCAAACAGATAACCAACATTAAATTATTTCTACCGGCTTATAATATATTTATTGAATATTGGTTGAAACAAAAATACTAATGAAAATGAAATTTTTTCTATTGAGATCATGAATCGATCGATGTTAGATCATTATTGAAAACCTGTAAGCACTAGACGGACGTTTTGTAGTGGTATGAGACTCTTCAATAGTGGTCATCCACGATTTATGGTTTCAATCAATCTCCACAACCTCATACTGATAGAATGAAATTATTGAATTATAAAAAACTGTTTTATTTTTCTATTTTACTCAAGATTATGTTTGAAACAAATAAATTACCGAATGTGAAAACATGTTGTTTAGTATCTGGTCGATTGAATGAATTAACTATTCTTGGTGAAGGATTGGAACGTTGTCAAAAATCATTAAATAATTATTTAGATTCTAAAAGAAATGCTTTTCCAAGATTTTTTTCATTTCTGATGATGAATTATTGAGTATATTAGGATCAAGTGATTGTGAATGCGTTCAAGAGCATATGATAAAAGTTAGTTAAATTTAATTCATTTCCTATTGGTTGTTGAAATCTTTCTATTGATGTTTATGACTGCAATTGATTGTATTAAAACTTCACCCCGTTGCACAAAGTAGTTTCTATATGGACTCAGTAGCTGAGTGGATAACGCGATGGCGTTTGAAGCGAACAGTACTTGATTCGATTCACAGAGTGAACATCAACTCTGGGGTCCAGGTACATCCAGACGACGAGTCCAAAATAAGACGAAACACATGTCCTGAATTCCACTGCTAGCCTCCATCAACATCTGCTTAGGTAAATTTTTATATATGTATCCTTGGACTAGAGACGATAAATTCGATCAACACTAACATAATTCATCAACTACAGTCATTTAAAACTTAGCACAATGATTCATGAGAAAACTTTTGCCAAATTTTAGCAGTTTCGAAAAACGTAAACACTAATGTATGAGCAAGTTAGACTTTGTGTTTTAATTAATTTTTGTAAAATTTTCAGTTGACGATAAATATTAGGCGGAAATTAATGAAATTAGTCATTCAAGACAAATTTTGGCTCTTTGAAATTCTTTTTCCTAACGATAATGTTCACCAATACAAAGAACGTTATTGTCGTTTTCTCACACCAGTCAAATCAATATTTTATGTTTTACGCATCCGTATCATATTAGTACTTGAGTGAAAAGAGATGCTAGGGTGCCTATATCTAATCATGAAGATTCCCTATTTTAGAGTAACCGGTATCATATACCTAAAGAGTGTCGCTCGTTAATCTCACTTCAGTATGCGTTCATAACTTGATCACTTAGATCATTTTTTTAACAATTAATGGTGAAAATGGTTATACCTTACCCTTAATATTTTTGCGCTATGTGCCACTAGCTAAAGGCATCCAGATGTAGACATTTGCTTTCTTCTTGTCCGTATTGTTGAAATATACTAAAATTTAGAGTTATTCCCTCGCCGTCATAGTCGTTCAAACAGAAATGTGAAAACATCATTAGTTCTATTCTTAAACATTTGATCAACTTTGGTCATGTAGGCACTCTAGAAACAGATTATAAAATCACCTATAAATCCAAACAATCTTCAGGATAGAAATCTATCTACGGCTGAAGCCTTGGTGCTACATCTCTTCAAAAACGGTTTGTTCAAAATGCCGTTTCATCTTAGTCTTGAGAATTAATAACATTGACAGTACATCCTATATGGGTTTAAAGGTTATTACCCTTTATTCGTTACTTGCATGAAAATTTTCTGAATGCTCTCTAAGTGTACAATTATGTTTTATCTATAATTTACACTTACATAGCTCTTCTATCTATTACTTAATTTGTTCTTTTTTGGTACTCAAAAATACTTTCAATCACCTTTTAAATTACCAAGTATAGATCTATTTATCTTACCATAAACTTCTATGTGCTGAATAACCATAACTACGATTCCACAGCTTTAGTAAATGATATTGTTAACAGGAAACGTTTTTCGTTGAATCTAGTTCGTTTCTCCCCTAAAAACAGTAGCTTACACTGTGAAAACGCTAACCAAAGGAAGATAATTTGCATTATCTTTTTTCATCATCAATCTCTAAGTTTTGGTTAAATGACGTTAATTTCATTCATTTACGGGTATTTACAATTCCTTTACTTAGTCAAAATAATAGCCCCAAATATTAGTTCTAATAAGAAACTGTAATTTGAAGGAACAACAATATTTGACACTTACATGAATAATCATTTATATCATTAGCTACTATTGTAGTCCAGTTTAAATATGTCTCTCACTAAACCTGTAGATCGTGCGTTTCAAAATATAAACATTTAATTGAATGATAGATCCATTCACTGAACACGATTTCTTTAACCGATCTCTGTTTAGAATGACTGTCTTTAAACTAAATGAAGTTGAAAGACATTTAATTGAAATCTTTTCCCGTTTAAAAAGAGTGCTACCTTATTCAAACATTTAGTAAATAAATAATGACCTTACGTAACTTTTTTGTTTTGAAAAATCTCCATTCAGATGTTTGATAATATAGCATCATTGAAATTTTCTAAGCAATCATCAAAATCTGGATCTAATTTTGTTGAAATGACCGCAATGAATTCAGCTGAGGGTGAAGTCATGGAATTTCGTCAACCACAACCTGTTACTGGTAATGTTGAAAACTGGATGACTGCAGTGGAACAAGAAATGAAACGAAGTAATAGATTGATCACAAAAGAAGCCGTGTTCTACTACCGATCTAGTAAATCAAGGTAATGCAACATTGTTCATAATACATACCAAGGAAGTGAATTACGTTTTCTCTAAATATACTGCTTAAAAGTTCTAAATTGCAGTCACAATTCCAAGTTAATAAGTTAAAGTACTTGAAGCAACTCTTTATAAACAAAACAATATTTCAAGAAATATCGTTTATTGAATCAAGTTTGTTTACGACCTTCTAGGATAATTTAACAAAAGTTGGTATCATTCAGATGACAATTCAAAATTAAATATCTTCATAGTAAGAATGTTACCTTTTATCTAGTTTAGCCAGAAATGAATTGCGTTGCTCCTCTTTGTTTTTTTTTAAAAAAAAGAGCTAACATATATTAACCAAAACTACACAGTTTGAGGTATTCTTAGAAATAAATTAGTAAAAGCAGAAAATAATCTTTGTCCATGTATACTTCACATTATCTAAGATAATGTACTACCACTTAGCTTGTATTTATTTTTGTACATATTACATAACTCACTCCAATTAATAATGATGACCAGTTCAGTCAGTCAGCTATAACGTAGGACAAGGCACATATATGCATCGATCTAAGTTGCCACACCCATTAGCACAACAAGATGAACAACGGATTCATAGAAGCAGTCAATTCAATGGTAATAAAATAAACATTTCATATAACCATATGGTACAACGAGAAAGAATTAGTTGGTAGAAAGAAAAGTATAAAGTAAATTTAATCCCATGGTTTAGCGGAAGATAAATAGTGTATACACCTACACCCTTGTAATCGATTCTAAGCTATGTCACTCAGTCTCCAACCATTGATTACGATAGTCGTGTGGACCCCAACCAAGTAGTCTGTATCTGCTGACATGGCTCAGACTAGAAGTTAGTGACTTCAAGTACTGATTCCACATTTTGGTTTAGCCGCCTCTAACTTTCTTCCAACCATCCCCAACACCGGTTATCATTTCACGTCGTGGTAATCGGTGTTCAGGCATACGTAACACGTGGTCCAACCATCTCAGTCGATGAAGATTTGCAACCTCATCAACTGATTTACCATCATTCTCTAATACCGTGTTTCTAACCTCACTATTGCTTACCCGGTGATCCCAGCAGATGCCAAAAATATTTCTAAGACATCTGTAATCAAATACTGGTAACTTACGAGTATCTTGTACACTTAATGTCCGTAAAGTAGAACAGAACAAACTACCGCACAGTATACTCACCCCTTAATTGATAGACGAATATCTCGCCTTCGCCACAGACAACGTAAATTGGCAAAGGCCAGACAAGCCTTCTGGATCCGTGCTGAGATTTCGTCAGACACCAACCCATTGGGGCTGATCAGACTTCCAAGATAAGTGAAGTTCTCGATGCGTTCGACTACTTCACTCTTTATCCTTAGTTCAGGCGTCGATTTAGGCCAGTCCTGAAACAACAACTTGAAGTTAGAGGGGAAGAAACGCATCCCAAACATTCTGGCGATGACCACTTAGTTTAATAACTTTTTAATTATACCTATCTCAGTGATATCTTGCATTAAATAAGTTCAGCTAAATCTCTACAACATAAAAAAAGCCTAATTATGCCACTTTTTAATGTTTTGTAACGTTATCATTTAGTTAGTAATTTATCATTTGAATATGTCTAGTTGCTTTTTTATTACCTTTTCTTATTTGTATTACCTATACATACAGAGTTGAATGGATGTTCGATTATCAAGGTATGGTTGTATTAGCTACAAATCAAATATGGTGGACATGGGAAATAGAAAATGTTTTTCGTAAAATAGCTAATGGTAATAAAAATGCAATGAAAGATTATTCACAAATGCTTCAACAACAATTAGATGATATTGTTCTGTGTGTACGTGGTCCATTAAAAAAGAACGATAGAAATAAACTAACCACCGTGTTAATAGTTGATGTACACGCAAGAGATATTGTCTCTGATTTTGTACGTGATAGTATTATGGATGCTACAGAATTTCAATGGGAATCACAATTACGATTTTATTGGTCTAAATCTACAGATAATTTAATTATTAAACAATGTACTGGACAATTTAATTATGGTTATGAATATATGGGATTAAATGGACGTCTCGTTATTACACCGTTAACTGATCGTATATATTTAACATTAACACAAGCTCTTTCTATGTTTCTTGGTGGTGCACCTGCTGGACCTGCTGGTACTGGGAAAACTGAAACTACAAAAGATTTAGCTAAAGCATTAGGTTTACTTTGTATTGTAACTAATTGTGGTGAAGGTATGGATTATAAAGCTGTTGGTAAAATACTTTCTGGTCTATGTCAATGTGGAGCATGGGGATGTTTCGATGAATTTAATAGAATTGATGCTTCTGTTTTATCAGTTATATCGACACAATTAAAAGTAATACAAACGGCTTTAATAAATCATGTAAAAGATTTTCTCTTTGAAGGTATTTCAATTAAATTAGATTCAAGAGTTGGTATTTTCATCACTATGAACCCAGGTTATGCTGGACGAACAGAATTACCAGAATCAGTAAAAGCATTATTTAGACCTGTTGTTGTTATTGTACCAGATTTACAACAAATCTGTGAAATTATGTTATTTTCACAAGGATTTTTATCAGCTAAAATATTAGCTAAGAAAATGACTACACTATATCGTCTGGCACGTGAACAATTATCAAAACAGCATCATTATGATTTTGGTTTGAGAGCATTAAAATCAGTCTTGGTAATGGCTGGTGATTTAAGACGTGATGCACCAGAACTACCAGAAGATGTAGTATTAATGCGAGCTTTAAGAGATATGAATTTGCCGAAATTCATTTTGAAGATGCACCATTATTTTTAGCTTTAATTCAAGATCTTTTCCCTGGATTAAATTGTCCACGTGTACGTTATCCTGAATTAAATGATGCAGTTGAATTGTGTTTAAATAAAAAAGGCTATACGGAAAATCCAGTTCAAGCGGATAAAGTTGTACAACTTTATGAAACAATGAAAACACGTCATACAACTATGGTAGTTGGACCTACAGGTGGTGGTAAGACAGTAGTTATTAATGCTTTATGTGATGCACAAACATATATGGGATTACCGACAAAATTATATACATTAAATCCAAAAGATAGAAGTGTCATTGAATTATACGGTATATTAGATCCTAATAGTCGAGACTGGACAGATGGTTTATTATCAAATATATTTCGAGAAATTAATCGTCCAACAGATAAACAAGTAAGCTTAATCAGTGATTATAAATTGATTTTTTCTATCAAATAATTCGATTATAGATTGATGAAGATAGTAATATCGAGGTTATTCCATTCAATGTTCGTAACTGTTAAATAATTATGAAGAATGCATGATTATTGTACTCTGCACATATTTACCAAAGACTGTTATTCAGTCTTTTATAAAACTGGTTTTTGATGAGTTTTTATTCTGTTCAAACATTGTGAGGTATCTGTAAGAAAGTAGATCTCATAACTTTATTTAAAGTGCTTTCAGAATTCAAGAGTCAGTAGTTTCTGTCAGGGAAGACGTAATTACCGTCCTGATATGGTCAGTTCTTACCTACAGTACCGAACAGAGAAAGGAAAATCCGCAGACCTGGATCTCAAAATGTGGCAGACCTAACCAGGAAAGCTGAAAATCATTGGAAATCACCCTTACTAAACGGATAGTTTCATGACTATTTGCTGTTATACCACTGTAATAAACGAGCCCAGATGAAGACAGAGTTCTCCCATGAAATATGAAAACCATACATTAAATATTTCATTTACAAATCTTCCATCAAGTGTCTCAAACTTGATCGTTCCTTCATTACTATTACTATCTGTCTACAATCCCTTCCTCTTCGATTTGATCTTTTCAACCTTCTACTGTCAGGTATTTCACTTCCAGTTGGTGTTACATACTACTTATGTCTGCCGACAAAAGTAGCATACACCACAGCACTACTAGAACTTCCCCCAAGAAATCAAAGATTATAAATACCAGGAACAAATCAGATTTCGTCCAAATCACGAAATTATTTATCACACTTCTGCTACCTTTTAGATACTCACTCCTAATCCATGCTCATAGTCTCTGTAGCTCTGTAGGCTAGAGTTGCATTTTGATAACTAGACAGAACTGAACTTTGAAATCGTCTTCTAGAAAGAAAAGCCCCCAGAATGTTTCTTCTACAAAAATCATCTCTTGAGATAGAAATTTATCAGATAGAGTGACAGTATGAGATTATATTTCTCCGATGTTCCGAATCACATGAGGTCGTCAAGTTTTACCTTTTAGGTAGATAACATTGTTTCACTCCTAAACAAATCAACTGACACAACGTTTGAACAACAAGAAGAAACAAATATTATATCATTAGTGCTCATTATCCAAATCCTAAATTTTAAAAGTATGTGCCTAGAAAATTAACAAGCTTTACATTTAACAGTTTAAGAAATCTTTTAGAGTTTCGGTAGGAAAATTCAGCTTAATAGTTTATTAAAAATAGAAACAAGTTACTATACAAATTTTTATACTTTTCTTCTATCTACAGGAAAGAAGATATATCCTGTTTGATGGTGACGTTGACGCATTGTGGGTTGAAAATATGAATTCAGTTATGGATGATAATCGTCTGTTAACATTGGCTAATGGTGAACGTATTCGATTACAATCACATTGTGCATTATTGTTTGAAGTTGGAGATTTACAATACGCATCACCAGCGACTGTATCACGTTGTGGTATGGTATATATTGATCCGAAATATTTAGGTTATGAACCTTATTGGAAGAAATGGTTAAGTCAGCGTACAACTCAATATGAGAGAACTATACTGAATGAATTATACAATAAGTATATACCGCCGATTATAGATAGGATTGTTGAGGGCATTGCAGACGGTGAACAAGTGGAACGTTTAAAACGTGTCATCCCACTAACAGATTTAAATTTATTAATACAATTTTGTTATTTACTCGACTGCCTATTAATCAATATCAATGAACAAACAGATTATGCTCTGATTGAAAGTATTTTTCTATTCAGCATTTACTTTTGTATTGGCGGAGCATTAGTTGAAGAAGAACGAGAAAAATTTGATAATTATGTAAAATATTTAGCAAGTCTACCTGGACCAGCTGTTGAAGAAACATTAAATAATCCAGCTGCTGCAGGAACTATACCAAGTGTTGAGCCTAGTTTATTTGACTATTATTTCGACATAGAAAAACATGTTTGGATTCCATGGCGTCAATTAGTTCCTACTTATATACATAATAAATCCATTAAATTTTCTGAGATATTAGTACCAACAATTGAAACTGTTCGAATTAACTGGTTTATAGAAAAATTAGTTCATATTCATAGACCATTATTGTTAGTTGGTGAAACAGGAACATCAAAAACTGCAATTTGTCAAAGATTTCTGCGGGATATCGATCAAGATAGAAATGTAAATGATTTTTTTAATTTTTAGTGATCTAAATGTTTATTTTATTTATAGCATTATATAGCTTATGATAGTAATTTGGTAATTGATGTAACTCGTTCACCAAGTACGACTAAATGTAATCAACTGTTTTTGTATGAGGATCAATACTACTAAAATGCTGCTCAAAGTGAATTACGTAATGTGTTGTTTGAACTTAAAACCTGATGGTTGATAGCCGATCGACATCAAACTGGATATTTTGCCTAGCTGCATACAATGAACCCATTCACTTCAAATTTCATTAAAATATTCACTGGAAACTCGATAAAGGTCACAGTTTTCTTTTTTTAATTTGACATTATATTACGGATTAGATGGTTTTGCACGTTCTTAACTTCCAAAACAATTAGCAATTCATACATTACATTTATTCCAAGCCAAAGTCCAGAACTTTTATGTCTGTCAGCCAACATGATTCCAAAGTTCTGTTGTCTAGGATCAAGTTGTTGTGACGTCGTAACTTAATTTCCTTTTTGTCATACAAAGATTAGTATTCACTATCAAATTATGTATATTGTTTTAAACTTGAAGAGTTCTAAAGTACGATGAAACAACTACCCAATTTAATGTTATCCACAGTTAGTATCATTCACTGACTGACTTAAGTATGCTTTACTTGGTCACACCAGCAGGTATTCACGAGCATGGGAAGGTAAATTGTTAAAACACTAGTGAACATAATCAAAGCTGTTTATGGTACAAATATTTTGGCCGATTATATATATATATATATATATATATATATATATATATATATATATATATATATATATATATATTATTGAATCACTTATAGGGCTTATCCCATCAGAATTTACTCATACTCAACATTTATGCTTCATCACATTTTCTTAAGACGTAAGTTCTAAAAGTCAAGAAGGGTCGCGAAAAAGAAAACTATGACAGTTGGAATCAGTGTTTATATTTCCATATGAATATTCTTCATCTATATATTTCACTGTTTATAAATTTACAGTCCATCAACCTGAAGTGCGTTCCTCATTCATCTGTCAAAAGTAACCTATTTATGTATGTACTGAGGCTAAAATTTGGTTTTGTGGTTTACCTAAACATTTACTTGAGTACTGAAGCTGAATGATTTGGAAGCACTTATGATCAATTATCTGGCTTTAGGATGTTCCAACTAGAGGCTTAAGAATACGAAAATATTTGTGGGCTACTAATCATATGATAAATACAGGCAAAGTTGACTTATCAAAGTTTGAAAAAGTTATCGGCTATGTCAAAAATTATTCTAGGTAGTATCACACGTTGTTTTGGATTGATATTCTTTCCAGTCTCTTAGGTATTAGTATTAATAATTCAAGTTGATGTTAAACCAACTATATGAAACCTTATAGTTTGGATCTATGTATTAGTTTCGCCTTACTAATGACATTTTCTGAAATTTACTGTACATGTACTTCTTTTAAGTTATGATTAGTGGAAGGAAAAGATTTATTGAGTCAACTGAACTTCGTTCTCTACGCTTAACTTTAGAATTGACTCCAAAAGAGATAATTAATTTTTTTCATTAGAATCAAACAATATAAACAAACGGTTAACGATCAAAACTTTTAGTAATTTATACATGACATATTTCTAAGTTTTATTCCTTACTTTCAGTGATCACGAGTTTACTTTTAAGGCATTATATACCACATAGTTGAGTTATCAACTACCGACTAGAATTTTTACTTGGTTATAAATTATGATTTACACAGTCCATACATAACCCATCTTTTAACTTATATCTAGACTATGCAATATTCAACTTACCTCTTTTTACTGTAATCTTGCTATACTCTATAGCTCACTCAACTTGTTTTTTTTGTTGTTTGTCAACTACTCATTTAACTTTAACATTGATGTTATTAAGATTACTGTTTTGATTTCTAAAATTATTGAGCAATCATGTACTACGTAGAAACGTCTATTAGATTGATTGTTTATTATATTTTCTTTAAAATTTTCATTTATTAGCTAATCTTAACAATTAACTTTTCATTTCGTACTACATCATTGGATGTACAACGTAATCTTGAAGCCAATGTAGAAAAACGTAGTAAAGATACATATGGACCAGTTTCAGGCAAACAATTAATCATATTTATCGATGACATGAATATGCCACAAGTTGATCAATATGGAACACAACAACCTATTGCTTTATTGAAATTATTAATTGAACGAAAAGGTGTTTATGATCGTGGTAAAGAATTGAATTGGAAACGTATGCAATCCATTGATTATTTAGCAGCGATGGGTCGGCCTGATGGTGGAAAACAAGATGTAGATCCCAGATTTATTTCACTGTTTTCTGTTATTAATATACAATCACCATCAGAAAGTACATTATATAAAATTTATAGTTCGATTTTAACTGGACATACGAGTGAATTTGATAGTGGAATTAAAAATTCTGTAAATTTTGTCACAAATATGACAATGAAGTTATTTCAGTAAGTAGACAATTTGTTTCATGAATGTTTGTTTTTCAAATGTTTTAAACTGTCGAAAGTAAAATCCAAACTTGAAATCTGAATGAAGGATTTTACGAAAATTAGGCATCGAGTAAACAAAAAGCACTATATCTGTGACAATCTCGGTATATGGAATTCATCAGTTTCACTGTCATATCTGTTAGTTGAATTGGATCTCTTAGGATTATTTAGCAAAATATAAACTGATGTCAACTTGAGAAATAATGGTCAATGAGCTTCTGTTTTAAGATCTAGTGTACCTCAATCGGATTCCATGTAAGGATACTTATGTAATCAACGTTGCGAAGCTACAAACTAGGACGAAATAGATGGTGAAAAGTACCTGATCTTCACTATTTTTCTTAATGTTATTATTTCGAAATGAAAGTACTACACATCATTTAATTTGAAAGACTGACAAGGTTTCAGATATTGCAAAAAGCATTACAACTTACGTGTTCTACAACTAATGTCAGTGTGGCTAGATTGTCTTTATTTCTTCTTTATTAGCACAGTAGGTCACTTTTGTTTACTGCCAAATTATTCTACTATTCATTTTATAAAGTGTATACCAGTTCACCGAAGTAACAAAAAATTAACTCGGTTAATAATAACATGAATAGTAGGGTCTACACTAAGGTTGTGATGTGTACATTTTATACGGTTAGATATAAATAGTATATATTAGAAACTGGAAGTAGGACTCTTACTGAAAGAAGAGCAAAATGAGGAGAGGAGAAAGAAAAAAACAGTCGGAATACACACAGAAATGAGAAAACGGTATAGTGTGTAAGAGACAATTCAAAGAAACTATGAAAAAAGTGTATTCAACTTGTTATTTTCATTTATTATTCATGATACTATAAATTGTTTCATTTTTACCAAGCCTTCGTTCATTACAAAGTGACTAATATTCATAGCCATAGGTATTCCCTGAAAACATTCACTTGTCAGTTGAATATTTTTACTTAAACAGTCAAATACTTCACTTCTTGGCAGGTCATATTCGCATTTCAAGGGGAGCACATGTTTCCTAAACATTCTAAATATTTCTTATTGATAATTAATAACAAATATAAAGGTTATTTGTCACTTTTTTTTAAAATACACAACAATAAGTAGGTCACCAATTAGTCCAGAAATTCATAATCTTTAAACTAACACAAACAAATTAATTTGATTACGGTGTACTTTGTTCAGTTTCTTTTCTTCTTCTTTACATTCACTTATTTTTGTTTAAATAGATTTGTTAGTGTTCAATTACCACCAACGCCATCAAAATTTCATTATGTATTTAATATGCGAGATCATAGTCGAATATTTAATGGATTATGCTTAATGACTATTGACAAGTTCAGTCGTAGAGAACAATGTATTCGTTTATGGCTTCATGAAGTTTATCGTGTTGTCATGGATCGTTTAATAAGTCATAATGATAAACAATTAGTTGAAGTAAGTTCAAAATATTTGAAAGTGTATATTTTTAAGTGTGATTAACTGTGAACTATAGATGATCATTTGTTAAATTAAATGAAAATTCAATAAACACCAAAAGTTTATTAGATCACACAAACACTGGAAAGTATAATTTTGAACTGATCCTAAAAACTTAAAACTGGAGTTTTGTTTAGGGGTAAGTACAACTAAGAAACTTATTAATCTTATCTGTTAGTAGCCTTTGAGTGCTATGAAGTTAAGTAAACAGACTGTTAAGCGAGAGATGTTCCCCGATCATTGAATCTCTCAGTGAGTACATTATTGTATATTGAATGTTCCATATTTATTTAAAATTTGTTTTTAAACTAAAGTTGTTCATTTTTGAGAATTGCTTTTCTTAAATGAGTTGTAAACATAAGGTCATTATGCTTATTATTTTTTCTCCTGTTTTATTTAATTATTTTAATAGAAATATATAGATGAATTATTACAAGAGAATTGTAAAGAAATTAAAGAATATGTAACTAAAATGCCGATACTATTTGGTGATTATCGAAATGCAATGGATGAATCAGAGATTCGTTTATATGAAGATATGATCGATTATGAGAATTGTCGAACTATAGCTCAAGAAGTAAGTTTATCTGTAAAAAGAAAAACAAAAGTGACGGCGATTATATCTTACGAGTGATTAGTAGTTAGTTCGGATTTCAGCTTACTAGGCTCATATAAAATGAATCGGGCTATGTTAGCTACTATTTAGTATATTATACTTCTCAGAATAGGTAGTTTATAAACAAGCAGTTGTTTTGCTTGGACACCTGGTAGACATTGCTTCAAATTTGTGTACATCATGAACCGGTATCAACTGGTGTACCACTGGAAATCAGAGAGTAGTTGACAGGTGTTTATTCCTATTCATAGCCCCCCCCCGCAGTGCTTAGCCATGATCCGGTCAGAGGCTAATGAATTATCCTCAGATTACTCATATGGGGTCTATTGATTTATATTTCAAATCTAAATCATTTATTGATGGAGCACAACGTCACCAGATCTCATCAAATTTAATGTTCTCGTCTTAGCTATTTACATAAGATGAGCTGTTTTATCTGTTTATACACGTGTACATTCTTCAAAATCATTCACTGTGAAGTTGTGTTTACAAAGAGCAGGTATCACGTTTTAGTTCACAGGATAGTCTGAGAATTTTCATTAGTAGCAGAATCTTTCAAAATATAGAACAAAGTTTTACGTTAGCTACATTATAATTCATATACCCCATAATTTCTAATAATCACATATTACAAAACTTTGAAATAGATCTTAGAAAATTATAATGAAAGTATTGGTCAATTACAAATGATTCTGTTTAATGATGCAATTGAACATTTCACGCGCATTGAGCGTGTACTACGTATGGAAAACGGACATGCACTTTTAGTCGGTGTTGGAGGTTCTGGTAAACAAAGTCTTACTCGACTGGCAACTTATGCCGCTAATAGTACACTATTTGAAATTCAACTATGTCGAGGTTATGGTGAACGCGAATTTCGTGAAGAACTAAAAACGCTTTATTTACGACTCGGTATTGAAAACAAATCTACAGTTTTTATGTTTACAGATCAACATGTTGTTGAAGAAGGTAAGTATCTTTAAATAAAATATATGGAATATTTTTACAGATACTTTTAAAAAAAATTGAGGGAAAACAATATAGAGGGTATTCTGTTCTGCTTTGGAATAAGTGTTAATTTGCCTACCACTAAATTCTTCTAGTTCAATCACTTAATGTGTATATTATAACTTTAAGTTCCCTAAAAAATGTGATCGTAGACAATTGTCCGAGCATTTAATCAAGAACCGGATATTAATAACTAGGCATATATTCACATGTATATAAAGTGGAAAGTTGTAAATTGAAAATATAAAATTATTTCATTACGTATAATTCATAAGGTTACGTCTGTCTTTCACTAGTCAAGCACGTCTTACATTTCCTAAATGCATCAGTCTGTAAAAGCGATTTCTAAGTGGCTTCTTCGTACAAAATATTTGGTTCGTAATCACGAAAACGAACATGTACTACTGAAGTTCATATATTTATGATTACTTCGATCCACAAAACACCATCAATTTCTGATAGACGACCTGTATTATAGGAAACCGTTTGTACGGGATTTTACTTGCACTCGATTCCTCTAAATTTTAAAGCAGTCATCGTCTTTGGGTTTCTCATGGCCATATAAGAATCATTCAAGGCTATCAGTGCACTTAAACCTCACCAATAAGGCTTTTGGATATTTTAGGTCAGTAACCGATTACTGAACGAAGACAAAATACAAGTGTAAAAAAAACATTTAAATTGATAGCTCATAATTACGTTTTGTATAAACTCTGAGCTGTATCACCAATCACTAATAATGAATATGGAATCCAACCTCCCTGGACAAATTCGCTAAGAGACCTTAATCTGCAGTAGCCCAGGTAACAGAACAACAAAGGCGAAAAGGCAAATATACACATAAAGGTCATGACTCTAAGTGTCATTTCGATTATTAGATACAGTACCAATTTCTGCATCCATCCCAAGCCGTTTCTATGGGAGACCCCAGTTCTATTGACCAATCTACTAAGGATGTTAAGTGTATAATACATTTCATATTTGCTTTCCAGACATTTGGTCTGGGCTGTGCTGACACATCCTCGTCATTGAAAACCATATGGAAATGAAAGACTATAACCGCATGGTTACTTTTACCTAAGGGTGGCATATAATGGAAGTTTGCGACATCATCCTCATGACGGGTCAATATGACATTGAGTTAGGATGATGTTGAGTTCGGGTCTTACCTAACTGCTTCTTGCAAATGTTACACTAGAGCACATGTGATAACCGCATCAACTAGTTCCTGCTCGGAGGAATTTTATGACAATTCAGTTCTCAGATTTTTCCAGTCTACCGTAGGTGCATTGAAGTCTCCTAGGACTAAACATCAACCAATTTGTGACTAAGTATTGAGACCATCTAGCAAGACCTCGTTTACCTCACAGCTTGGACTGCGATAGACCATATCAATCAACAGCTCATATCATCTGCATTACAAGCGGCAACTAATTAATTCACACGTCCCACTTTCATGGGATATGTTACCAATAACAGCAAATTGGATAGCATTTCTAATGAATAGAGCTACTCCTTCTTCACGCTTCTGGATTCTGTCGGTTCTCACTAATACTAAACCTTCAAAATCAAGTTGCGTATTGTCTATAGACTGCGTCAACCAAGTTTCTGTGACTGCGATTACATCCGGCTTCGTTGAGTCTATCTCCACCGAAGCCTCACCACTCACAAGTTTACAATTCTAAGGTCCTCGCCAGCATCTAACCCTAGTTTTAGTTCTTCTTCTGATCCTCGTCTTCTTAAATGGTTCACGAACGACAAGTGTTTATGGACAAGAACTCCTGACCCCTTTACTTTGTGTTTATTCTGTACTATACTATTTTAAACAGCTTGGTTTGATTTTGTTTCGAACCCTTTTGGCTAACTGGTCTATAAACCTATAGCAAAGTGACTCCAGAGATATTCTGAGGCGTTGGCCGGTTTAGTAGCTCTCCTATCAACTCAATTTCATGCCTAAAACGAGTTTTGAGCCTTGACTCTATGGAAGACAACTGACCTGTCAGTATGATCAGTCTTTAATTTGTCAGCTGCTCTTTTGGTGGCCGGCCGTTTGGAGGGCGAAAGACAGAAGGAACTTCCTTTCTTCAGCTTTTATTTCTAACAGACCTCTCTATAGGCCATTGTCCGTCCATTGGCCCACGTAAGTTAGTCGACTCTGAGCTTATTTAAGGCAACTTCATACCGATTTGTTTATCCACCGAGCGAGTACCATTTCATGTGCCTCAATTACACTTACTTACAATCCTTTTAGCAGCATTCACCATTGCACTGGCTTAATATAGCATGCTATTTGCATCCGAGCAGCACTGCTGACACAACCATACGCAACCATTTTTACTAAGCTGTGTGAAAGGAGCAGGCGTTAGATTCGTGCAAACTACGTGGCACCATCCATTGAATTCATCGCACTGCATACCACTTTCTGCAGTGTGTCGACAACCTGGGCGTTAGCAATTGCTTTTTCGCACTGCCTAGTCATCAGTACAGAGTTTTCACGAAAAAAACTAGATACAAACAATACCCAAAGACAAGAGAAACTGATGACCAAAAAAAGTGAAAATCTTTGAGTTGTTAAAACCAAATGTACAAACAAATGCAGAACGGATCAACGTACTCAAAAGTATCGACCATAAGTTACTTTTGAAAAGCGATACTCTTGGCGAATACTTTAACTGAAACTTATTAAATAAAAGCGAAAATAGTAGTCTTGACGGGTAATAAAAGATTGAAACAATAAAATTAATTCAGCATGAAGAAATACCTTTCTTTTTTAATTAGAGCTCTTAAATTCGGCCTGTTCTTCATATTTATCAGGAAACATTCATATGAAGGACTGACATGCTTTATTCATAGGTGAAACACGTCTGAAACACTTCTATACAGTGTGATAGAACGAACATGAGGAAGCGGTATCTTATATATATTTCTTAAACCAACGTTATTCTGAAACTTCCATTAAGTGCTCTACATTTATACATAAGATATGTTTAGTTAGCGTTGATAGCTAAAAGACAAAGTGCTATACAATATGTGCACTAGCTGTTGATCAGTAAATAAGAATACTTTCTTTCTCATTTTGTAAAGGTTTTCTTGAATTGATCAACAATATGCTGACAACAGGTTCAGTTCCTGCTTTATTTGGTGATGATGAACGAGAGTCAATAACAGGTCAATTACGTGATGAAGCTGTTGCGATTGGATATCCTCCAACTCGTGAATCTATATGGCAATATTTCATACAAAAAGCAGCATCGAATTTGCATATTGTTCTATGTATGAGTCCTGTAAGTAATAACTTTATTTATACTGTTTATCACATAAGTTATTATCAAGGTTAGTACATGATTATAATAAGATAATAAAAATTATTCTGATTCTTTGTTAAAAACTGCACCTTACACTCCGTTCTATGAAAATCATAATACATTTTTCCATTAATTAGTCATTGAATGATTAATAATTTAATGTTATCTAATCCTTATCGAGGCGGGTACGAATCTCAAAAGAAGCAGTTAATCCTGTAAGACTACAGATGATTCGTGTCACATTGCAAGAAACATACATCATAATTTCCTACTGATTACGTCTAACTACCTAACATTAAAATATGTATACATTTGAACCACAACTTCAGAATTTGAAATCTTTGTGTAAAAGTCTACTGTTTAGTGCAATGTTTACTCATAAACTCCACAGGGGCTCGTCTGTCACTTTATTTAGTGAGATTCACAAAATTGTGAAAGTTCAAGTAAATCATGCTATTAAAGGTCGTTATTTAAATAATATGTATAAGAATAAATAAATTACAATTACGCATTAGATTCTATTCAGTATTAATTAGTTAAAAAAAACACATCGATTGAATTAATTTGAAGGTATTTATCATTCACCAGTCTCATAAACCTTCCATAATTTATGATTACACTAACCATTTGTTGATCAAGAACTCGTCATCCTTTCTCAAACATCTCTTCTTATTTATTCTCTTAGTAAGTTTCATCTTTTTCGTGAAATATAAAACTGTATCAACTTGTGCTGTTAAATTATTGTAGCAGTTTCTATTACACTCTACTCAAATTATTCTAGCTTCTAGACAAATAATATTAAATCAGACAGAATGTGATTATTGAGTCATCTTTGCCTTCCTAATAATTCTGTTTCATCCTGTTGTGTGACTCCTCATCAGTGAGCATCCACGATCCCGTTTGCGGGATTCGAAACCAGGGCCTTCACACTTGCGCGCGAATGCTTAACCTCTAGATAGGTACCTGTCTCTAACCGGCACGGATTAGCTTCACTGGTCACGGCCAGTGCTTTCAGGTTTTCAATGGTGGTCTGACATCAATCAGTTCATGACCTCAATCAAAAACTTATTATTCTACACAATCCTAGACTGATAATTCTGTTTCACGTAAGTAATTATGACCTAAACATAAACTTCTACTATTAGTGTCCGTTTAATTATAATATCACTTGTTATTAGATAGCCTCCGTCTGTGAGTACGCCTATCTATTGCTTTTTTATGCATTGACTATATTAACTATAAATATACCTACTAAACGACTGTGTCTCAGTGCTAAGTATGCTTATCCGCTCTTTCAGTTTGTCTGCCCATTTACAATTCTCTGAAATTTACGTATCTCAAACACTTGTATTTCGACTTTTGATATTCTATGCCTCTAAACGTGTTAAGTCGACAGTATATAGACAAAGTCAATAACGATCTATATCTCACTAACATCTTCATTCGTCATTCAATGGAGTGAACCTAGAAGGACTATAATGAATAAGGAAAAATGTACGGTTACAAGTCACCATTGTTGAAAAAGCATGAAGTCAGTTCTGGCTTTATTTTGAGCTTAAATTGATTCAGGTAAATTTTCACAGACATTTGTCAAAGTTCAGAAGTGAAGTAAAAAATATTCATTTTACATAATATTCTTTAGGTTGGTGATACACTACGGACACGTTGTCGCAATTTTCCTGGTATTGTTAATAATACTACTATTGATTGGTTTTTCCCATGGCCTGAACAAGCTCTGTATGCTGTAGTCAATGTACTTATACCGGAACAATTTAATCTTGTACCTCAACAATATCGTGATTCTGTTATTGATTATTTTGTGGCTACACATCAAAGTATACATAGTTATACGGAAGAATTTGCACAAACTTTAAGAAGAGTAAATCATGTCACACCAAAACATTATTTAGACTTTATTCATACATATAAGAGGTAAATTATTCTTATAAATTGTACTTGTGTTTCAAAGACAGTTAATTTCATAATTTTGATACCAGCTTCTGATTTATAGATCTTTGCTTACTTAATATTCAATTTTGTATTAACTCACTGTCTTTATATGAAAACCTATAACCGAGTATTTAATATATTTCGTTGATGTTTATATGACTCTGAATGAAAGCGAATCGTGTATCCGAGAGACAACCACTTTCTTTAACGTCTCAGATATACCTCACTGGTGTATACCATTTGGCAGAGAGCTTACATCTGGAGTTGTATTCCAGTTTCATTCAGTCATTTAATGCCAATAATATGTTTAATCGAATATATCAAATTGGTTAGATCTTAATTTTCAGTATTAAACATCAATATTAGTTAACAAGAGTAACTCCACTGTTGCACCTACTGCGCAGATACTGAATAGGTACTGTATAGGATTAACCCGACTAAAGGAAATGTAACAGAAGACTGATTAACGAGTTTATAACTACTCATTTGTAGTTTATATGTCGAAAACGTATTAAAACAGTTAATGAATTAAATGAAAGCTTAAAATTAGGAACCATCTAAAAGTAACATACACCAATTGTTTGACAAATACAGAAAAAGAATACCAACTGACTCTACTATTAATAGTTCCTCCAGTTTCACGATTTCTTTTCCGCTTTTAGCTTAGTACTATCCATATTGTTTTCCATGAAATAAAGCAGTACTAATTAGCCACTCAAGTGAATGGAAATTAGAAAGACAGAATATTCACACAGTTACAACTGAAGTAAAAGTTGATCTTAATCAATACTATCATTTTCAATAAATTTCACTCATGTAACACACCAATTAAATCACTCTACTGATTACAGATACAAGCTTAAACATAATATCTTATTATAAACTGATATTAACTGAAGATCTAATAAAGATGTGTGGACACTAAACGATTGGTAATCTTGGTTTTTTAACTAATTAACTATGTTCATCCGTAAATTCACATTGCAACAACCTTAAGACCTCTAGGTTCAGCGGCTGGTATAACACCCATTCAGTCAAGTGTATTACTTAAGACTTCTATCATTGATGCACTTCCATACCCATTCTTGGATTGATCGACTGCTTAGTTCATAGATGGCTCGGTTTAGAATGTGTGAATGAATTTATTGCTTTTATTGAAGAGCAGTGAGTAAATGCACTGATTAAACATAACTTATATTCGAGATCAGATAGTTGATGAGATCACTGACGCAAAATCTTTTGTTGTGGATTCTCATGAAAATCTTAGTAACATTTTGATACTTTAAACACACTTTTTGTTACCAAATTATGTTACTGTTGAATATAACTTTTGAGATAATCATAGCTAAGTATAACTAACAATATTCTGCCTTATATGGTAAAATATTCTTAGTGAATGATAGAAAGCCAACCCTTATTAGAAAAAAAAACTGTTTAAAGCTAACTTTGTAAATAATTTTTAACTAACCACTTAGTCAGTAGTATGAAGCAAATAAAGTTAAAATTTTGCGATATTCAGGTTCTTTTTCAGTAACTCATTCCTATTCCACTTGAAGTTGTCTATTAAGGAATTTCAAAGTTGAAGTAAAACGATTTGAATGTTTCAGGATCTTTAATGGTTTTTCAGGTGAAGTAACCTAATAACGAAAATTGCCTAATTCTGACTGAATTTCAAATTTATTCAGTTAATAGTATGAACCTATAGTTGATATCACTATATTACACAATTACTAAACACGTATAATTCATTAATTCGTGAATATATATATATATATATATATATATATATATATATATATATATATATATATATATTATATTGATTGATTAGATATATGATTTCTCTTGTTGATCTAAAGATTAATTACAGAAAAAGATAATGATAATGAAAAGCAAATTATTCGTTTACAAAGTGGTTTACAAAAATTAGCTGAAGCTTCTATACAATTAGAAGAGTTAAATGCTAAATTAGCAGTACAACGTATAGCTGTTACTGAAAAAACACAAGCATGTGAAAATTTATTAAATGAAATTACTAATAGTAGTCAATTAGCTACAGAGAAAAAAGAACTAGCAGTTTTAAAAAGTAAAGAAATTCAAATTCAGTCTGTTGAAATTGAACAAGAAAAAGTATGATTTATTTATTTTATTGATGTTGATAATCAATGTTGTTTTTTTATTTGTTCATTTGGCGAGACTGTAATTTATAGATGGATCAATCAGATTTACAATAACAGGTCTTAAATTTTGGCGCGAGATTAATTAATTCATTTATCCAAATAGAATTTCGTCACTATAGCTGATGTCAGTTCGTAATGAAAATCTTAAATCTAATTCTTAACCCTAACTATCAACTGTAGATATTAATCCTAATTCCACACACTGGTTTATAATCCTCATTTAGCTGGAGTATATGAGTGGACATTCTCAAGGTCTTTCTAGAGTCGCTTAAAGGTCGTCCATGAATTATAGTCTCACCGTTCATTTTTATTTATCTCTTTTTTATTGAATTAATTAGTTAATTATTTATTCATCAAGTTTTTTTGTTTGAATAATTGAGTACCAGTAGATGATTTCGATACATTGAAAGTAGTAAGTCTCAAGTCCGATTTATTAACTGATGAAATTTACTACATTTAATCAACACAATTCTGGAGAGGGAAAATATTATGAATAAACAAAAAGTTATAATATAGATGATATAACGGACGGTTTACAATATTTCCTTCTGTTTCACGTACATTAAATTAATACATTAGTAAAACTAATCACGTTATATCAGAACCAGCATTCATGACCCAAAATAGAAAACCAGATTAACGCTAGATAATAATTTATTCGATACAACCACACACAATAAGTCTAGAGCAGAAATCGATTATAAGAAGGGAAACCACATATTTAATAGTCCGTACGCTTTGGTTGTTTGCCCGCGCTCAACGACCAATCATACTTGACTTTCACGACCACAACATCATATAACACAGAACAAGTTTTTTTGCGGTTTAAGAGGATATATATCTTAGAATTGGGACTGTCAAAAACATGTGAGTGATGACTTTGTTTAAGGGAATAGTTTATGTATAATACCTCGTCAACACTTTTATAGCATTTTTGAATTTAAACTCTGACTTCTAACAGAAAATACTTCTCAAGTTAGAATTCAGATATCATATGTTTGTACATCTGAATATGTGATATTGGAAGTGAAAATAAACGTTTGTTTGTTCATTCATGTAGGTTTATCCTTACCTATATATCTCAACCATTTGACTCTTAATTTCATACTGTCTTCAGTGTTTGAGAAGTTAATTATTTTGAAAACTCTTCCAGATTATATTCTAAAGGTGTCAGATATTCTAAAAGAAACCATCAGTCCACAATTTCTACATATCTAACAGTTTAACGTACTAATATCACTCAGTACTTCATCCAAACTAAAATATATTATTTAAACAAATGGAACTTCGATGTTTAAAAACTTAAAGTTTTGATATATATCCTATTTATTTATAGACCATTGATGAAATTGTTGTGAAAATACATAAACAAAGTTATAACTGATAATTGATTAGTTGAAAATGAACGTCATATAACCAATTCATAATATCTCCTTACCCCACCAACAGTAAATCTATTCGGTATCTAAAAATAAATTTAAAAATCTTCATCAAATAAAGTTACTATTATGGCAATAATAATCAAAACTAAAATGATAATTAAGAATAACTTGAATATCGAAACTTTTAATTATCAACGTAAAAAACTATTGAAATACCATAATGGGATTATGAGTAAAAATTCACTTGTTTGTCAGTTAGTTTTTAAATAATTAAACTAATTTTCATTAAACAATCATTGGAAATCAAAAACCAGTGGACGACTTCATTCTATTATAGAACTTTACAGACCCATAAACTTTAGGACAATGAATTAGGATCTAAAGGTAAACATTCCAAGCTACAGTTAATTCAGAAACGCATTTAAATGGATCTAACATGAGATCGCTTTTGGATACCACTAAGGGATTAAAAACAGGATAAAACAAGTGACCAGCAGGTATCAGTTTATTCCAGAAACTATCTCTTATTTTAAATAATATTTCATAATCGAATCATCAATTGCTTATCTACCACTCTTTGTGAATAACAGGTCGTCCTTCGATTCCTTAGTACACTACTTGTATTTTTGGTCTAGTCCGATTAATCAGGATCTTCATAGTTTAAATCACGAACTGATCTTAGCTAGACCACCATTACAAACCTAAGGACACTGGTAAAGAACTCTCCGTTATTACGCAACCACGACCTCGCACTCGGTAATTGAACCCAGGGCTCTTAGTCCTGCATGTAAACGCTTGACCTATAGACCACTGAGCTGGTATCCAAGTGTTAATATCTGTCTTCAGTCAATTCAAGAACCTGCTCAACCCTCATCTATTGCACGGGGTAAATAACTATCTCACATCCGGCATAGTTGAATTCCACTGGTCATGACTTCTCACCAGAACTTCAGGACTTTTATTTTGAATTTAATGAAGATTTAAAAATTTTATTTTTAATCATTCAAGAAAATAATACAGATATTAGATAAACCAATTTTCTTGTTATTGCTGATTTGTGACTGTGTTGTGATTTTATATGCTTAGACGGAGGCTGAAACTGCCTTAGCTGAAGCTCTACCAGTTTTGGAACAAGCTCGTTTAGCTTTGGATGATTTAGACAAATCAGATGTCACTGAAATTAGATCATTTGCCAAACCACCGAAAGCTGTACAAGTAGTTTCAGAGTGTATATGCGTGTTCAAAGGTTATAAAGAGATTAGTTGGAAAACAGCTAAAGGGATGATGTCAGATACAAATTTTCTACAGTCTTTACAAACTATGGATGTTGACAATATAACTTCAAAACAATCATCGACTGTGAAAGGTAATAATGAACTATTTTCATTTATACTACTAATTACTGTTGACAATAGCTTATTCAAAACTCGTTATTTTTCCTGCTTAGGTTGATGGTGCTGAGGAGTTTGGTAAACACTTTAGTCTAACATCTATAAAAAGATTACTATAAAAGCTAAAGATTTAAAACTCCTCGTTATATGATTTCCAAAAGCTTATAAAAGTGATCCGACATCTTTATTTCAAAGATTACTATATTCATGTGGCGTATGTTTTTAGATCACATTATAAATTTTTATCAGACCGGTTGTCTTCAAATTAAGTTCACCACTATGGTGAATCGTTGTGATTAACAGACGACATGCATTGGTGACTGATTAGTTTATTAATTTCGATCGTATAGTTTGTTGGTCGCATACCAATCAAATAAGTGTTAACATCTGTAACTATGGTAATATATTATGCCCTCGACCACCATGATAAACCGTGGATTTCCTTGTAGTCATAGTCATGTCATCATCGATGAACGTGGAGATCCAATGCAGGTGTAAATGGATGGTTTGGTAAAGCAAGGACATATGGAACTCAAAGCAACTGTTAGTAGGTATCAGAGTTAGAAATTTCAATGCAAACTTCAAGACGATTCTATTGTACCTAGCTGTTCTATTGTACGGAGCTGAAACATGGGGAACAACTACAACCATCTTCAAAAAAGCGCGGGTATTCATAAACAGTTGTCTACGCAAGATACTGAATTTCCATTTGCCGGATACCATCAGGAGCAGCCTAACATAGAAGAGAACAAACCAACTCCCAACTGAAGAAGAAGTTAGGAAAAGATGCCGGAAGTGGGTTGGACATCGCGGAAATCATCAAACTGCATCACGATGCGAGCGCTAACTTGAAACCCTAAACGATAAAGGTAAATAGTCAAACCAACAAATACATCAAACCGAGATTCAAAGGTAGATATCTAACACCAAAGAATTCAATGATACTTGAAAACAACTGGAAGAAGAGCTTAAGACAGAGTTGGTTGGCTTATATCTTGTTGGATGGTCAATCCTCCTCCATGAGGAGTAACAGGCGTAAATAAGTCAGTAAGTATGCGTTAAAATTTATCCCATAAACATGTTACAAAAAGACTATTTGAGTCGATCAATACTAATAAACTCTGAAACTACAATTACACGTTAATTTATGTTAATAATAATTTAATGTTTATTCAAACCATGAATACTTTGAAAATTTAAAAGATGACCAGCCTTTATTTCCTTTAATAGTTTTCACTATAACTAATACTAATTTTCACTTGATTATACCTTTATATGTTATATTGTTTTACCTTTTTTTCATTGTGTTGATAGATTATTTAGATAAGTCAAAAGTTACAATGGATGAAATGAAAAGTGTCAGCAAAGCTGGTACTGGTTTATTAAAATTTGTTGTTGCTGTACTTGGCTACAGTGAAGTTGCACGTGATATTAAACCAAAACGAGATAAAGTTGCAAAATTAGAAAAAACTTTTATGCAAGTGAGTAATATATTTTAATGTATTAATTGTTTGAATTAAAACAATTCGTTACTTACTTACATCTGTTACCCCTCATGGAGGAGTATAGGCCACCAACCAGTCCTGGGCAACCCTTTCCACCTCTTTCCAGTTGTTATTCATCCTTTTCATGTCTGCTTCTGATTCCCGATGCAGTATGTTCTTTGGCCTTCCACGTTTTCGTTTCCCTTCAGGGTTCCAAGTTAGCGCTTGTCTCGTGATGCATTTTGGTGATTTCCATAGTGTATGTCCTATCCACTCATGCTGTTCATAAATTACATCTAGCTTGTAAGTACATCACTGTCCCAATAGGAATGTGGATATAATCGTTCACAAGTTTAACGTTGAAAGTTCACTTAGCTAATTTCAAAATATGATAGACAATCGGACCAGAAAAAACATATAAATGGTTTATTAACCAAAAATAATGCACTTGTATTTATAATTGTATACAAACAACAACAATTAACAATGAGAAGATATAAATACACAAACAATATGGTATTCAAAATGACAACAAACGGAAGCAAACGATATTAAATGATGTTACACACTGTTGGTCTTTGAAGACTTATGTTACCATCAAGAAAACAAGATATACTTTGGAATGATACTACTGGGAAGTGGCGTATTGCATAATAATAGCTTATGTCAGGTTATTTCAGCATTCACTAAACACCGTTTAATTTATAACTAACTGTTTAAATTTCCATAAATTTTCTCCTTATCTCTTAGGCTAAGAGAGATTTAACTCGAATCAATACAGAATTGTCTAATCTGGAATCTGAGCTAATCAGTCTTAATCGTCGCTATGAAGAAGCAATGGGTGAAAGACTTAAATTACAAGAAGAGACAGATATCATGGAGCGTCGTTTGATTGCTGCAGATAAATTAATTTCTGGTTTAAGCTCAGAAGAAATTCGATGGCTTAAGGATTTAGATGGATTGAAAATAAAACGTGTCAAATTATTGGGTGATTGTTTAATCAGTGCAGCATTTCTTAGTTATGTTGGTGCGTTTTCATCCGAATTTCGTACACGTATGATATACGAAGATTGGCAAACATGGTTACGAGAAAGACAAATTCCACTAAGTGATCAGTTTCGATTGGAAGATATTCTGACAAATGATGTAGAAGTATCAAGATGGAATTCGGAAGGTCTACCACCAGATGAACTTAGTATACAGAATGGGATATTAACTGTACAATCCTCCAGATTTCCTTTATGTATTGATCCACAAGAACAAGCACTTCATTGGATATGTCACAAAGAAGAGGCAAATAACCTAAAAATTTCTACGTTTAATGACTCAGACTTTCTTAAACAACTTGAACTAGCAATACGTTATGGTATTCCATTTTTATTTAAAGATGTCGATGAATATATTGATCCAGTTATCAATAATGTATTGGAGAAAAATATAAAAGGTGATCAAGTAAGTAAATATTTATTTTCTCTCCTTAAAATAAGCATGAAATTCAATAGTATTTATTTACGTACCAAAAAACTACATATCGCTAAGACACAAGAAAAATACGCTATTCTATAAAAGACTAGGGTAATAAGTCATTCATTTTGATTACATGTTGAACGGATCCGCTCAGTCGAAATTAGTTTCCGGCGGCTACACGCCCTTCTCACTTAGAAACGTTATGACGATTTTTCTTTATTTAATTAAAAAACCGTCTTACACATTCAGTTATCAAATTAAGAGGAGAAAGAAGTCACAGATTTCACTCTTACAATGTATCTATTTATTCTACAAAAGTCCTCTCTCTTTAAATAAATAGTATTATAAAATTAAATATTTTTTTCTGGTTAGCGTTTTTTTAGCGAGTTAGCTTTTTACGGAATGGGGTCGCTAACCCCATGCCCAACCCTCCTCCTTTATCCGGGCTTGGGACCGGCAGTAGCCCCCAGAGGAACTCCAGGTCATCTTCTCCTGCATTTTGTTGTTGTGTTTAGCCCTTCTATCCCAAATGCAACAGCAAATGCAGAAGACGACCAGTGTAGCAGAAGCCTCAGCAGCAGTAGGTCTCAATATACACAAAGGAAAAGCAGGATTCTCCGATACAAAACAACATGCAACAACCGAGTCACACTTGATGGAGAAGATTTGCAAGATGTAAAACCTTGACATATTTGGGCAGCATCATTGATGAACATGGTGGATCCGATGCAAATGTGAAAGCGCGGATCGACAAAGCAAGAGCAGCATATTTACAACTGAGGAACATCTGGAACTCAAAGCAACTGTCAACCAACACCAAGGTCAGGATTTTCAATACAAATGTCAAAACAGTTCTACTGTATGGGGCGGAAACCTGGAGAACTACGAAAGCCATCATCCATAAAATACAGGTGTTTATTAACAGTTGTCCACGCAAAATACTTCGGATCCGTTGGACAGACACTATTAGCAACAACGTACTGTGGGAGAGAACAAACCAGATCCCAGCGGAGGAAGAAATCAGGAAGAAGCGCTGGAAGTGGATAGGACACACATTGAGGAAAGCACCCAACTGCGTCACAAGACAAGCCCTCACATGGAATCCTCAAGACCAAAGGAAAAGAGGAAGACCAAAGAACACATTACGCCGGGAAATGGAAATAGACATGAGAGAAATGAACAAGAATTGGATGGAACTAGAAAAGAAGGCCCAGGAAAGAGTGAGTTGGAGAATGCTGGTCTGTGGCCTATGCTCGAATAGGAGTAACAGGCGTAAGTAAGTATTATAAAATTTGTAGGTTCTTTTCGACGAAATCATTTACTTAAGCTGTACATTCGTATCTATATTGGTGTGGTAAATGTATGTTTATATAATAATAGAAAAGATTACACCATAGAGTGATTTGAGACTCCAATTGTCAAACGAGGTTACGAAATAATCAGAGGGTTAGAGAAGAATGGAAGGATGGAAATAATTTACGGGTCAGGATTATAAAGATAATTGTCCGCTTGACAGATATGAAGAAAAACGAAAACACAGATACGAATGTACAGCTTAAGTAAATGATTTCGTCTAAAAGAAAATCTTGTTCACTGAATTCTCTTTATTTTTATTTAATGACATAATGGGTTATTTTAATTAGTTGTCTCTTTTCGAACCATTTTGTTTAAACCTATTCATTTATTGTAAGTGAACACGAAGTAGATAACCATTCTGGATGGGTTACATAATAAGTTACTAAATCAGGAATATGTAGTGAAAACTAGTCCCTCTCCTAATGTTAATTATTACTTTGTGCATAATCAGTTAGTCAGTGATAATCAAAGTAGAAGTTGGCACAGATTAACATCGGCCAAAACTGTCATACTTTACTTAATGTAAACAGACGAAATTAACAAAAAATTTTTTTAAATACAGAGGAGAAGTGAGCATAAGAAGAATGGTTCTAAACGAATTGATGAAATCGAAGAACTATAAGCTGTAAATATTATACTATATTATTATTACGTGGGTGTCAAATAAACTTATTAGTACTATCCTCCTGTACCCCCTGGGGATTTAAACTGAGCACTGATCTCTTAATTCATGTTATCCGTTTGTAATATTTATGCTGGTATTCTTACATATGATTAAGTGATCAGTTTTTGTTTTTCTACATTACTTTTCTAATTTGATATCATAGTTTTTTACGGAGTTAGTAAGATTGTATCAAATTGATTGGAAAAGATTTAATATGATTTTGTTTTGATTGTGCAATTCTTTTTGTCATACTAACATTTCAACCTTACAGAATATAAGTTATATTTATTGTTTTTTTTCTTACAGAACCGTGCTTATGTCATTCTGGGTGATAAAGAAGTAGACTACGATCCTAACTTTCGTCTCTACCTCAATACAAAACTGTCTAATCCTCAATACGGACCAGATGTATTTAGTAAAGCAACAGTTATTAATTATACCGTCACTATGAAAGGTTTGGAAGATCAATTATTAAGTGTAATTGTTAAATCAGAACGATGTGAGCTAGAAGAACAACGTGAATTTTTGATTAAAGAAACAAGGTTAGCGTTCAATGTTCTAGGAAAATAGTACTTTAAAATAACATTCATTCATAATAGTCTCTGTTCTCTGCAACAAACTCGGTGTCTCGACTTACGAATTTGTATTAGCCTATGAACTTTATAAAAATGAGACATCCGATTCCCGTAACTCATGGATTTATAAGTTACATGTCTAAAGTATGTTTTCAGATGTTTATCATTTAGACTCCATCCTTAAACCTTCACAGAAGACAGGAAGAAACAGCTTGCTGAATACTTCATTAAAAAGTATGGGGATGTGGAAGAGATGATGATGCTCCGACAGTTTAGCAAAAAACCAATAATTTTTTTTTCAATAAAGAGTCGACCAACTAAATAGGCAAAGTTTCAACTATGCCAGCGATGTTTAATTTTATTCTACTGTCTATCGGCTCATTTGAAAATTTATAAGTTATGATATTTCTGTTTAAACTCGAGAAACAACACAATAGAATTTGGTATCATTTTAAATGGTTGACTGATTTTCGAACACGTGTCAACTTAATGAATAAAAAAATTGTCTATGATAATAATGACCCATTTGTCAGTAATATATATTTGAGAAAGCTTGTTAAAAAATATGATTACAGAGGTACTTTGCTTGAAATGTAAGAAATAAAATACATCCCCGTGTTTATGTTGCCATATTGCCGTTATAACCACAAAGTAATTCGCTACAGGTATTTTACCCATATTACTATACAATATAAAAGTAGTATAAAACGTTTTTCAAAATATATTACCATTATGACGGCTTTACTCAATATTAGACTTATGGTACAATGTAGAAATCTCAGCAACAAGTTTCCTTCTCTTATTTCTTGACAGATCCTGACGACTGATATTGATTGATCGCCAGTTAAATGTTAGCATTTCAGAAATCGACATATGAATAATGTTCATCCTTTTTAATCCATATTGACGACCACCACAATGTCTGTGATTGTACATTTTTGTAAATTGTACAGCGTAAGGTTGTAAACTTTTCAAATATCTTGAAAGTAGGACTATAACTTGACGGTCTGCATATGAATTTTAGTATTACTGGGTAAAGCAGCATAGTTTACTTACTTTCGTTTCTAGTAATTTTCCATCATGAACCATACATTCAACAGACTACATACCTACCTGTAAAACTTATTAAAATTCATAAAGACTGGAAGGTTCATTTATATTATCTACTTTTATTAATAAAGCGAATTCGAAACGCTTTCTAAGTGCTCTCATATTCAGCTTTACTAAGAAAATCCTCACTATCTAGTCAAAGAAATTTCAATAATATTAAACTAAACAGGAGAGAGGACCAACTCAATCTGACCTTATATTACAAATTTCACAAAACTCACAACTATGCTAAACAACGTTAGAACTTTGAAAGAAATCCTCACGAAGCTTGAACTTAAGATTTGTATTAGTGGGTGTTCTCAGTAGTATTGCTGATTGTGACACTGTTAAATATGTGATAGTATCCCACTGGGAGCATTAGTTTCTTAAAGATAGTTGATACATCTAGATAAATAGTGTTATCTATCAAGGAACCTAGTTTAAAATAAAATCTCTAATCACCTCAAAACATCTAACGTTAAACGAAGTGGAGTCAAGTCATTTAACCTGATTTATATCTCGCAGATTATTCCATTTAACTTGATCAGTAATAAGGGTTCACCAACATGACAGTGATTACAACCATGTGATAAGTCAGTATGAAATTGGAAAATAAAATAAACCCCTAATTTATTATTGAAAAGGAAGTTATTATTCTTTTTCTGGAATAGCTCTATCGAAAGAAACTTATGTTGTGTGAAAATTAAATCGAATTTACTAAACGAATAACTAAACCTAATTCAATTTCCCAAAGATAATCTACTAGTTTATTTGAAACTATTCTATCCAATCACTAAAACGTGATAGTATTCATGACTAGAAGGATCATTCTACTTTCAGTCATTTCAAAAGGGTTTGTAGTGTCGCTTATCCATGTTAAGCCCATATATCTTATTCTAGCTTTCGGACAGGCCAATCTATTCATTCCACTTGAGTCATATTTTGACCTCGTTAATTAATCGCTTACCAATCTTGACTGTTTTTATATGAGTGTATATGTGTGTGTACATTTCTTATCCTATTCACCACATGTCTGTAACTTATTTTTGTGTGACTATAAATACTGAATGGATTTGGCTTACCCGCTTTCTCCACCGCGTATCGTTTCGCCTCACTCTATTCCATTCGCTTCATATACAAAATATATGTATTCTAAAGTCCATTTTTTTACTTGACTTATTTAATTCCGTTAATTACTCAACGCGGATTAAGTCGATAAAGATATACGAGAATAGTCAGAGTATATGTACTTCGACAACAAATATTCATGCAATCAACTTGGAGTCAGATCCTGGGCCACCAAAATGGAGAGCCCGTCGACAACATCATCCAATCTAAATGACAACAAAATAAAGGCACCCCTTTAAAGGCTTTTTTCAGGAAAAATATCTTTATATCATAAAAGTATATTTCTTTTCAACTCTATTAATATATGATTTCTCACAGAAATTTGTATGAATTTGTTTTCTATTCCCCTTTTACAATAATCATCTAGTCAAAATAAAAAGTTATTGAAAGACTTAGAAGATAGTTTACTACGTGAATTAGCAACAAGTACAGGAAATATGTTGGATAATGTAGAATTAGTTAATACTTTAGAAGAAACAAAATTAAAAGCAAATGAAGTATCAGAAAAATTAGAAATGGGTGCTAAAACTGCAATTGATATTGATATATTACGTGATGGTTATCGTCCAGCAGCAAAACGTGGAGCTATTTTATTTTTTGTTTTATCAGATATGTCATCAATTAATTCAATGTATCAATATTCATTAACTGCATATCTTGATGTTTTTCAAATATCTTTACATAAAAGTATGCCTGATGTAGTTTTAAAGAAACGACTTCAAAATATTATTAATAAACTTACATATAATGTATATACATATGGATGTACAGGTAAATTTAAAGTTAATCATTTTAAGTATAAGTTTTATACTAAAGATTATAAAATTATTCTTATCAAGTGAAATGATAATTGTAATATACACTTGATTTTCTTTATTTGGATCGTTCCAAAATAATAAGATGAAATGTGTGTCCTCGATTCCACTATTAGCCAATATCTATCTTTACCTTGATAATTGAAATATTCTACAATTTAAATAAAATTCTCGTTCATTTAATTAAAATAAACATAAACTAATTGATTGTTTAGTAAAACAAAAAATCATTCATAAACTGTTTTTGTTATTTTGATAACTTTAAAAATTGTGAAATTTGTATTAATATTGAACATTTACCTAGTCAGTCATTTATATGTGGCGTCGAACATGGAACATGTGTACACCGGTTCATGTTACCACATCCCATTAGGACATTATGATGGGATTGTCAGAACGAATCCCAAAGTAGTAGAAGTAGTAACAATATAAATGGACACAGTAAAAATTAGGGATCAAATATACCGAATTTAAGAAAATTAAAATTACTGAAATGAGAAATTTTATAAGGTAATTTAGAAACTTATGATCTAAGGAAGCACAAGGGTTGAATGTAGTTGGCCTATTGGGAACGATTTTGAGCTATGTCATTCAAGGTCTCTAAGCGTTGATTATGCTTATCACGTGGACCCAAACAAGTTATACCACACCTTTCTATATCGCTTAGTCAAATAGTCGATGTCCTCATGTATATTGGAGAACGAACAGCAGCGACTCAGTATAATACTAATTACACCTTCAGTAAAGAAGGTAATCTCGATTATTTTCAATATTTGTTCTTACGTCGAATGAGTTTTCCATGTAAGATCAATGAAAGAAATAAAAGCTCTATTTTTGAGTTACATAAATACAGACAACTGATTTATGGTTATTTAGTTAGTCAATACTCTATAGAACAAAATCTTGTACATTGACGCTGTTAGTATAAATGATATAACAATACTAATATAATTTGAAAGTTTAATCATGATATCTTACAGAACTAGTTAGACAGTTGTATAGGTTGTACATTACCAGGCATTAGAAATAATATGTTTAGTTCGCTTATGCTTAAATTACTTACTAACTTACACCCGTTACTCCTCGTGGAGGAGCATAGGCCGCTCACCAGCACTCTCCATCCAACCCCATCATGGGCATTCCCTTCCAGTTCTTTCCAGTTGCTATACATCCTATTCACGTATGCTTCCAATTCCCGACACAATATGTTCTTTGGCCTCCCACTTTTTCGTTTCCCTTCAGTATTCCAAGTTAGTGCTTGCCTCGTGATGCAGTTTGACGATTTCCGTATTTTGTGTCCTATCCGCTCCCAACGAATTTTCGTAATTTCCGCTTCAGTTAGAAGCTGGTTTGTTTTGTTCTTCCACATAGTAGGCTCTCGCTGATTGTATCCGGCCAAAGGACAATCAGTATCTTACGTAGACAATGGTTTATAAATACTTGTACCTGTTTGATGATGGTTGTAGTAGTTCTGCATGTTTCAGCTCCGTACATTAGAACTGTCTTCACGTTCGTATTGAAGATTCTGAATTTGATGTTGGTTGATAGACAGCTGTTTTGAGTTCCATATGTTCTTCAATTGTAGGAATACGGCCCTTGCTTCGCTAATCCTCACCTTTACGTCTGCATCAGATCCTCCTTATTCATCGATGATGCTTCCCGGGTACATGAAAGATTCCACATCTTCGAGAGTTTCGCCATCAAGAGTGGTTGGGTTGGTGTTCTCCGTGTTTTATTTGAGGATCTTGATTTTCCGCTTGTGTATGTTGAGGCATACTGATGCAGAGGCTGCTGCTACACTTTTTGTCTTGACTGGCATTTGTTGTTGTGTATGGAATATAAAGGCCAAGTCATCTACGAAGTTCTTTACAAACCCCTGATATGATCTTGGATCTTTAATCTGTCATAGATTGGTTCAAAGCAAAGTAAGGGGAAAGCTGAACAATTGGGAAGTGGAGTCTAATCCGTGTCCGATAGAGACAAGCGTCTTCCTTAGACAATGGATTAATGGTTGTGCAAGATCACGGATCGATTAGAGCTAAACATTAACACCGTTAGATGCCGGTCCAGTGGTGTAGAGCTTAAGCGTTCGCGGCCTGCATGCGGGAACGTGGGTGCGCACTGCTGAGGAGTCTCGTATTAGGACGAAACCGTAGTTTAGTGCTTCCAGGTTCTCAATGATGATCTAGCTTTAATCAACTCATGAATTCAACTATTTAAATTCTTGTTTTGTTTAACAGTTTTGTATGACCTGTTCATCAAAATCTAACTTTCCTCAAAGCTTTATTTTGTTAAATACAATATAGGTATTTTTGAAAAGCACAAACTTCTATTCAGTTTTCAAATAACCAGCAAGTTAGAAATTAATTTGGGGAATTTAACTACGGAGGAAATGGATTTCTTTATTAAAGGAAATGTTTCTATTGAGAAAACGAAAGACCCTAATCCATTGCCTGATTGGTTACCTGATTCTAGCTGGAAAGACCTTAGTCGGTTAATTGAATTATTTCCAGAATACTATGGTTCATTAAAAGATGATTTAGTGAAAACAAGTAAACAATGGAAAAGTGTAAGATTCATTTTCATATAATGTTTTAACATTTAATAAAAGGTTTTCCTGGGTTTATTTGTTATATTGTATTTTTGAAGGCGATAAATGTTAGATATCTAAATATTTGTTTATCTTTCAGACTGTTTGAAATAAAATCCAAGTTAGAGATCCAGCCAAATCAATAAAGTAATTTTTATGTTTGCTCAGTGTATTTATATCCTCTGAATGTTTACATCACGGACAATCAATGACTGAAGTCTTCAAAGATTTAGCATTGATCATTGTATTGAAAATATTGTACTGAAATATACCACTGTTTCGCCTTTAGCTCGTGGCTTCTAAAGATATTAACGATCTACTGTTTAGTGTTAATCCATCACAAACAATTTCCAAATGTCTAGTGCTTAACCATAACTTTTGTCATAAATTATATTTTTTTGGAAAATGTAAGCCTGTTTGTTATAATGGGAGACACTCGGTGTTTAATAACTTAAGAAACTCCGATAATTTAGATTTAATGCAATGTTTAAACACTATTAAGCAGTTCAGAAGTTCGACATTCGACTTTGATAAGTGTTAAGGCTGTATGATACTTGTGATATACTGAACAACTATATTTTGGACAGTAGCTGGTAATCAGGACGTCTAACGTCATCCATGCGCTGATTCATTTGATTTCTTACACACTATAAAACATTTTATTGAAGATTCAAGATAATTCAACGGGTATACGTTCAAAGAATATACCAGATACTTATTAACACATATATTGTAAAATTATACCTTTGTAATTTAAAGACTGAATTTTTAAACCAGTAAAAAATGGTAACACTTTGAATGATCTACAGTTGAAATCAGTTTTTTTAATGAGAAATCCCACAAAACCATTGAATTTGGACAATAACAAACAAAAAAAATACATCTGTGTAGTGAAACAGTTGTAAAATTGTTGTAATTGTATCAGATTTTAGTGAATAGACGGGATTACATTGCATAATATCAAAGTATAACTCAATTGGGTATATATATACGGAAATTATTGGTCTTGGATGTGCACTGCTGAAGAGTCCCATATTAGAACGAAACGACCATCCAGTGCTTCCAGGTTTTCCATGGTAGTCTAGCTTCAATTGACTCATGATTTCAACTATTGAAATTACTAAAATCTCTACGAAACCCCTTCTGATGATATATATATATATATGAATTCTATTTACCTATCTTTATTCTGTTTTAAATTTCTCCTAGTGGTATGAATCAGATAATCCAGAAAGTATATCAATTCCAGGGAATTATAATGAACAATTAAGTAAATTTCAACGACTTTGTTTACTTCGATGTTTTCGTATAGATCGAATTTATCGAGCTATTACATTATATATTACAGATATAATGAGTGAAGATTTTGTTAGTCCACCAATATTAAATTTTACAACAATATATGAACAAACTACATGTAGATCACCAATAGTATTTATTTTAAGTCCTGGTTCAGATCCAACATCCGATTTAATTAAATTTGCTGAAAGACAAAATTTTGATATAAATCGTATAAAATTTTTATCTATGGGTCAAGGTCAAGAGAGAAATGCTCAAAATCTATTAGAATTATCTATTATCCATGGTAATTGGTTAATGTTACAAAATTGTCATTTATTAATAAAATGGTTAATTATTTTAGAAAAATATATTGAAAAATTAATAAAACCACATCCAGATTTTCGTTTATGGTTAACAACTGAACCATGTGATACATTTCCAATTGGTATATTACAACGTTCATTAAAAGTCGTGACAGAATCACCGAATAATTTAAAATTAAATATACGTTCAACATATTCAAAAATCTCATCATCCTCATTATTTAATGAATATTCTCATTCAATATTTCCAATATTAATTTATACATTAACATTTTTTCATGCTGTTATACAAGAACGTAGAAAATTTGGTAAAATTGGTTGGAATATTATATATGATTTTAATGAATCCGATTTTCGTGTATCTATGCAAATATTAATCACTTATTTACAAAAATCTATACATGAAAATGAAATAAAAATTCCATGGGATAGTTTAAAATATTTAATTGGTGAAGTAATGTATGGTGGACGAGTTATTGATGAATATGATAGACGTATATTAAAAACATATATGAATGAATATTTTGGTGATTTTATATTTGATACATATCAACCATTTTGTTTTTATTCATATAAACATTTTCAATATTCTATTCCAAATGGTAATACACGTGATGAATTCAATCGTAAGTTTTATAAATAAAAGAAATTTTTATCATGACATTTATTAACTATCATTTTTATCAGAAGGGGTTTTGTGAAGATTGTAGTAATTTCAATAGTTGAAATCATGAGTTAATTGAAGCTAGACTACTATGGAAAATCTGGAAGCACTAGACGGTCGTTTCGTTTTAGTATGGGACTCCTCAGCAGTGCACACCCATGACTCTGCCTCACGGGATTCGAACACAGGATCTGTCAGTGTCACGCGCGAATGCTTAACCACTGAACCATTGAGCCGGCATCCAACGGTGTTAATGTCTAACTTCGGGGTCATGGATGCGCACTGCTGAAGGGTCTCATAACAGGACGAAACGACCGTCCACTGCTTTCAGGTTTTCCATGGTGGTCTAGATTCAACTGACTCATGATCTCAACTATAATTTTTATGTTAACAGGACTATTGTTATGGTTTATCAATTCAATTCAATGACTAATGCATACTACTTATTACTTCTCTAATCTGGTTAGCGTTTTTTTTAGCGAGTTAGTTTTCTATGGGATGGGATCACTAACACCATATCCAACCCTCCTCTTTTATACGGGTTTGGGATCAGTAGTAGCCTCAGAGGGGCTCCAGGAGGGGTTTACTTTTCACAATTGATCGGTCACTGAATGATGATCAATGTCATGTGTGTCAAGTCCTTCTTAGTGCAGATCGAATGCTATCGACCAAGTTGAAATGTGGCCACTAGTCTAGCTAACTCGACACTGCGTGCACTATGTTGAGAGAAGATGGTGGTTGGAGGTAATCAACAGGAAACCCTGAACCCGGGTTTTGTGCTACTTGGCATTAGTCAGCAAAGTGTACTTGTAATCTTGAGGGAACTAGTGCTCCCTGATGGAATTTACTTTTATAATCAGCTATACATAATTCTAAAAGAAATAATAATAAAGAGTAAGTTGAAAACTTTACTCTGAATTCTCAATGAATGTATACATGATAGTGCAATGAATCAGACATACATAGATGACTCGTAGTCTTTAGTAGATGAATAATTCTGTTATAACTCTCTCTTATTACAACCCAGTTATTCTTATTGCTTAGTATTCTTGGACACCAACTCACTCGACAAGTCCTCAAATCAGAACACGGTTGAACGAGAAATAGATTATATTCCAAATAACAAGGTTAGATTGAAGTAAGAAGCCCAGTAGGAGAAAAGTTGGTGTATTTATAGTTTTTTACATGAGAAGATTCTAGAGTGTCCTCCAAGTATCGACTTGCGCTGATTGGATAAGAATTACCCAGTCAGAGTGCACCAACGCAATCGTGCATCGAGCATGCTTTAATTCAATCTATATCCTGCTAACAAATCCACTCTCTAGCAACACATTTAGTAAAGTTTGGGTATCTTACTTATCATTTATCTTTGCTACAGTAAGTAATCTATCTAGTATCTTGTATCAGCATGTGACCTGACCCGGTCTATCACCTAATGAAAATCAAGTTTTCCTCTTTACATTCAATTGAGGTAAAGACATACTAGTTATTCTTCAAAAAATCATTGCAAATCATGTAGTACTGGATAACTGTTTCAATTTATGTTTTAACTCGTAATTTCCTGTATTATTGAAATCTGAATCTTTCAGTTTTGTAGTAAGCTTGATAACATTGATCCACTAAGTTAGAATCTGTCAGTTTGTATTTGTAAAGTCTATCACTTTTGAAAGGTAAGTGAAATAGAAAGTGAAGGTGGAGAAGATTTGTAGCTCAGGTGGATGATTTTGGTGGACACAAACTTGGTGGCATAAACTTCAGATAGAAGTCTATCTGGAGTTTGTGCTGATGGTGTCATTCAGAAGAAAGATGAAAGCCCCACGACCAAACCATCCAGCTCAGAGAACAAAACTCCACCAAAAAAAGAAAGTGAAGGTTTACATAAACTTCTTACAATAAATGATGTACATGGAAGACCTTTGAAAATATGAATGAAATATAGGAAATAATAAAATATTTGAAATGTCATCATTGACTCATCACAATGAAGATTTAGTAAACTGACTGTCAAACGCTGGGACAATTTGGTAACTTGCATTTCGAGAGATTATACGTTTTTGCTTGGCTACATCACTGTTTGCCAAAAATTCTCGACAGGTACAACTACTAAATAAAACAGGGCTTCATATCAGTTACCTATCGTCATTTATTGGGCAACAACGTTCAATGTGATATAGCTTTAACTGACAGCTATACTTCATGTTTAATCAGAAGAATGTGTTTAAAGTTACATGATCAACGTCCTGATATTTTTGAATAATGAGTGATTGACTTGTTTGAGAAACTGTAAGAAATTACTCTAATTATATGCTAAACTTGAAGTCAACGTAGTGGTGATAGGATATTAGCCTGCAAATAAACTAATAATTTATATTCTAATCCATTAACCAGTCAAATTAACATACGTAAAGAGAAATATTTCCATGGAGAATTCATTGTAGAACGACAGCGCTTATTGCTCCTCTGCAGCAAAAAATATTGAGGTTGAATTTGAACTTCGGTCCAGTGAATGGTCTCTTTTGCCTTAATAACCTATTTTTACACACTTTATAATTCTATGTGCGACATAGCTTCCTTTAAAATCCATCCGAGTACAAGTTTCTGGTAACAATAAATTTCTAACCAACCGTGATTATTAATGGGTAATCTGATTCGTCAGACTGGTTAAAATTGGGAGTCAGTCTTTTTCAAACATGTATCTATCGCCATAATTTTTTTGAGTTTATATTTGCTCCAGTCTACTAATTATGATAATTGTGTGAACATATACACTTGCATTAAATGTTTGCAATATATTTTGAACTTAATAACTGAGAAATTAAAGAATCACCAGTATGTTTAGTAATATTTTCTTCCTCTTCTATCCTTTAGAGAAGTGAAACGAGATTACCATGTACTACATATATCAAATATATTTGATAATGAAAAGTGGTGTCATGAAGGTACAACATTTGTGGATAAATATGAGCATCAGCTAATCACTGTCTAAAATATTTTTACTCAGATTTCTTTAATCGTAACAATTCAAATATGTAGATAATTGGAATTTTGCTGCAATATTCTATATTTCGTACTGTAATCAAATACTTAGTATTGAATAAAGCAGGTATTACTAATCAAATATTATACTCAAGATCCAGAAATAATATAGAAATAAAGTTCATCCATTAATATCAATTAAACTGTCCCTATATCTTGTAAAATCATCCATTTGATTTAGCTAACTTCTTTTTAGTGAACTGGATAAGACAAATAAATTCTTTCTATAATTTCCACATTTCAGGTTATATTGAATCGCTCCCACTAACTAATACACCTGAAGTATTTGGTCTTCATTCAAACGCTGAAATAGGTTATTATACAAATGCAACCAAAGAAATTTGGAGTTATCTACTTGAATTACAACCACAGACAAGTAGTCAAACAAATTCAACAAATCGTGAAGAGTTCATTTCACAAATAACACAAGGTTTATTAACTAGTCTACCACAAATATTTGATAGAGAAGCTTTAAGAAAAAAATTAGGCGTAAATATACCACCAATTACAGTTGTTTTATTACAGGTAAACATGTTTAGGAATGAAATTTTTGTAATGTGCAACATTATCAAGTGGACGTTTCAATATCTCATTAGAATATTCACCACTATACTTTTAATGTCATTAGTTCTATAAATCTTTATAAGAAGCGTTAGGAATATGCTATTCTCTAAGTATCAACACATGTTTTTTACTGACAGGAACACCTTGTTTTGAACATTTACTTATTCAGTTAACTTAAAATCATAATACTTAGATATAATGATAAATGATGCTGAGCTGTTGATCGTGTCAGTTATCCATTGGTTTTTATATCTAATTAATTCAATACTGATGTATTAAGTAAAACAAGCCAGAAAAGATTATATCTACGAGGATGCAACTATTAGCATACTAAGGTAAATGGATTATTTGCCGCTCGCGTACCTCTACCTAGATAAATATGGTCCGACATAGTTGAGGATGGATTATAATTACTCTATTTATCTCTTGGTAGTAAAACTTCTCATGTCTCTTCCAAGTATTATTTATTTATTTATTTGAACGCATAAATATTGGTACAAAGGGACACCGAATACACATGCGCCACACAAGTCACTTGATTTGTGTGTGGGCTATGATACTGCCCAGCTTAGGGGGCCACGCCTGGAGCATTCGAACCAAAGGTCTGATCCACATAGCAGTGGAACAATGTCAGCAGATGCAGTCCCTTGGTAACTGGTGACCAACGATTGGTTCATACGCCATTTGTCCCTCCAGGATCCTGGAGTCCATGTGCATCATTGATTTGGAATCAGGGTTTTCCAACTCCCCTAGGTGAAAACTCCATTTCCACTGACTTGATTAAAGAGCCGATCATTCACTTCTCTTCCTCCCAAGTTCGTAAAAAACACCCCCGTCACAAGAAAGCAGTGAGTGGGACTTTCCTGACAGTGTTTGTATGCACGTGGCCATGTGAGAGCATCTCGAGAGGGAGAGCTAACTCTCCCACCCTTGGCATTTGGGGGAAAGTTGCTCTGCTTAAGCAGTAAAACTCTTCTTGGTAGTTTTCTCAAACTGGAGACCATAAAAAAATAAATGAATTTAATTCTAACTCGTGAAATATCATTGGCTATGAAAGTGCTAACGAAATGTGTACAAATCACCAATTTTCAACAAATTTCATTTCGGCATTGTAGACTTCAATGTTCAGTATGATTGAGAAAGGCGCCAATTGAACGAATTTTACCTAGCTGTATAGTCAGGTAAATTTATGAATCACTAGGATTTTCATCCATAATATCATGAAAAGTGTCCCGAAAATAATTTTGGCATTAAAAATGGATTAAGTATTCTCACTGTAATTTTTGTAGCTACGAAAATGGGAACTAAATGATGTCAATAACAAGAATGAATGCCTTATCGACACTAAGATATCCGTATATATTTAGTCCTCATTAAATACGGTGCTCTATCTTGTTTGTCATGGCTTGAAAAATGCATCTTGTCTGCAAAAAGTCAAACAGATAACCAACGCCACTTATTTTCTACTGAACATGTCATGCATTAAGTTAACAAAAAGATGGTGATCTAAGGCTCCGCAGGATATATACGATTGGTTACTATCCAGTGGTACGATGTACACTATCTTTTCTAATGATCGTTCGTAATCATCTCATCTAGTTTTGTTATGATTAAACTCTAGACTTCAGGATCTTTATCGTGAGTCATTCACCTTCAAACATTTTTTGAACCCTGAAATATTATTAATATGGCATTCTTATACTTTCTAATGGATTTATCTACTTTGTAATTATCTTAATTTTAGGAACTAGAGAGGTTTAACTTACTCATCAAACGAATGGATCAAACGCTTAGAACATTGAAACGTGCATTGAATGGGGAAGTTGGTATGTCAGCCGAACTTGATAATGTCGCACGTTCCCTATTTAATGGCCAACTCCCAAGCATATGGCAGCGTTTAGCTCCAGCGACTAAAAAGTCTTTAGGCAACTGGATGATACACTTTCATGATCGTCATAAACAATACACTACTTGGGTAAATTTATAAAATAAGTTTATTACATAACATTACATTATCCCTACTAACCTATGTTAATTTATTCTAATAAGAAAATTTTAAGCAAAGATGGATGGTGGCTAGCAGTGGAATCCAGGACACGCATTTTATCCAGCTGACGAGTCCCAAATAGGCAATATTGAGACAGTATGCACAGAATGCACATATACCAACAAGAGACTGATCAATTTCAGTCCTAAACATCGATGGGAAGATACAAACAAACGATACAAAATTAAGAAAATTTTAAGTTTATAATAAAATTTTATTTCCAATACCATACAAAAAATATTTTAAAACGATGAAGAAGATTTGTACCTCCTATAGGTGCTTTTGATTGTGTTACACCCAGACAATCATGAGTGTAAATTTGATTTAGAAAACGTAAAATTACTGATCGATGAAATTCAAAGAATTCTAAAAAAAAATTCTTGTAGGACTGTGTTCAGGTCATTTCTCAATCACCTGAATTATCGATAATGGGGCTCATTCAGCAATCTATTTTAAAAAAATTAAATGATCACGCTACCTGGAGCCAGCCCAAAAAATACAACCAAAGGAACAGTTTTCGGTAGCTTTTTAAAATATATTCCTTTTCATAGTTCCTTAAGGAATATCTGGTAGTGAAGCATTCTATAACATAGATTAGCATCCAACATTATTAGATAGTAAATTAATAGTTTATTCTGATGCAGTAATGAGTGAATTGAGTTTAGTTGACCAGTTAAACACTGAAATCTCGATTTTTATTCTTCTCAATACTGAAAATCGAATTCGAACTTAACACAGTGCAGCATTATGACTGGTAGGTTAATGTAGCAATTTCAAATGCTAATCAAATAATAATGGGATTGAATTCAATTTTATTATATCCTTGTCGTGTGAATGTTTTTCAAATAATGTACATTTGTTTAATGACATGATTAATTCAGATGAGGTACAAAGCTACCTATAATTCACATATTAACTTACCTTCTATAACAAATTGTACACAATATGATATTTAGATAGACATTTAAACTTGAAGCCATGAGAAATCAGACCCAAGAACTGTTAAGATTTGATCCAACCTTCATATATATTTACAAGGTCATATTTATTTTTGCTGGATTAAAGTGGAAAAAAACTCAATTTTTATAATTTTGACTTTAATGTAAAACTATGAACATTATACTCCTTTATGATCAATGAAAAGTACTAACTTCTATTGACTTCGATAAAACTTCAATATCCATTACATTTAGATATTTAGATATTAATGTCTAACCTCAACTAATCCACGAAATTGAGCGACACATCCTGGGGTTCTAGTGAGAAGTAGTGACCATTGGAGTTCAACCAGGTCTGTAGTGAGATAGTAACTCACTCAAGACAACGGTGGATATGTCGCTCAATTTCGTGGATTAGTTGAAGTTAGACATTAACACCGTTGAATGATAGCCGGCTCAGTGGTCTAGTGGTTAAGTGCTCGCGCGCGAAAGTTATATATCTTTAGTAATCTTATCTTCCTGAATGATGTATTTATCATAGATTAACTAATATACTGATTGATGTGAAAATTAATCAGCTAACGGAAATTAAAATTAAGATAACACTATATATATATATATATATATATCGTTTAAAGATCCTCATCATATTAAAAGACTACTATTTGAACGAAGAATATTCTTTTCGATAAATTCTCTTCAGGTTCTACAATTTATTTTTATTGATTTATTTAAACACATATTGGTGCAAGGGGGCACCAGATATATATGCGCCACACTGATAATGAGAATGGGAAGAGAAAAAGAGTGTAAGGTGCGTATAAGAGGGAAGAAAAAACAACAATATCGACCACAGATTAGTGGTATCATAATAATAATAATGGGGGAAACAAAAAGGTATAACCAGAAAGAATTTGTGGTGATCGGTATTCAATAAAACCCTTAAACTTCGTATACAGTTCGTCTTGATAACCGTCACTAGATAACGCCCCAACGGTATATTAATCAGAAGGCGAATACGATGTGCTGATTACGTTTATTATGGGACCACACATATATCCAAAATTACAGGTGCTCTAAGCAAGCACGAAAGAGTTGTGCCGAAAAGCATGCAGGCAAGCGAGCGAGTGAGTCAGCGAATACGAGTATGAGTAAACGAGTACAAATAAGCGAAAGAGCAGTGAACATGAGTAAAATCGACATATATATACATAGTGAGATGAATTAATCATCGAATCAATTAAGCGACTAATAGTAAGGCTAGCAGAGTGAATATGTGTATAGGCAGTAAGCAATACTCAAGCATACATGTTCATACATTCGCAACAATAATAAAGATAACTTATTGTTGTTGTACGGATGACTCAGTGCGTTAATAAGTTAACAAAATGACTTAATCGAATTAAATGTGAACAAACTCAATTGCACGTGAGTTTCTATAATGGCTCCCCCCCCAGCAAACAAAGATACAAAACAGTGTCTGTGTTTGCGAAAAAAATGTCAAATTTAACAGGATGGTAAATAGTGAAATTTACGAAATTAAGATGTATGATAGAACTATCGTGTAAGTTATTACAGATACGTGTAAGTTTGAGTTCGTATATGTCCGTGAGGCAAAATAAGATAATAACGGAAGATCGAAAGAATACATAAAATATGTCGAATGTAATGACAGATAAGTTAAAGTTTTCTATGTGTACATAGAAAACGAAGATAAAAGAAATTTACATCCGAAGAGGCGAAAGAAATTATTAATTCAAAATCGTAGACATGTATCGTTGTGGCAATCTCACTCTTCGACCATATCTTGTTACTGGATTCTCTTTGTTTGTCTTCGTCGATGTTGTTGATAATTGGAACTCACGTTTCGGTGATTTGATGGTTTTAGAAGTATCTGTATGTACTGGCTGATCGTCAGTTTCGATGAAAGCTGGTTTGACTCGGTCGATGCTAATTACATCCGTTTTTCCAGCTTTGTCTACCGTAATAGTTTTATCATTTCTTCTAATCACTTTGAATGGACAACCGTAGGCCGGTTGTAAGGGACGCTGCACATTATCCCTTCTGATAAAAATATGGGTACTGTCGCTCAGTTGTTTTGGTATGTATACCCAGTGTTGATGTTGTCTCGGAAGCGTTAATCTTAGATTACTCATATGCTGTTTTAAACGTTGTACATAGTTAGCTATATCAAGTGGAACACTTTTACCTTAGGTGAAAAACTCTCCTGGTAGACGTAGAGTAGTTCCATAAACCAATTCTGCTGAGCAACATCCTATATCTTGTTTGATTGTTGATCTTAAGCTCAACATGACTAATGGGAGCTTGCTGGCCAAATCATTATTGCTAATAACAGCTGTAAGAGAAGCTTTAAGTTACCGATGTAATCTCGCTACCATACCATTCGACATCGGATGGAAGAATGTTGTGAAAATTCGTTTGATTCCGAGGAGCTCTGTAAGTTGTTAGAAGAGGTGGCTCTCATATTGAACTCCTCTATCGGTTGTGATATTAGTAGGCACGCCATAATAAGAAATCCAGTGCTCCACTAGGGTTTTGGCTATGGTTTCGGCTGCAATGTCCTTTATGGGCACTGCTACAGGCCATTGCATGAATCTATCAATGCAGGTGAAAATGTAACTAAAGCCATTTGAAATCGGCAGCGGTCCCACAATATCGACATGTATATGCTCGAATCTGTTATCGGGGTGACGGAAATGACCTACTGTGGAACTAGTGTGGCGATGTATCTTAACTTTCTGGCATTTTATACAAGCTCGAGTCCAGTTACGAATATCCCGGTTCATACTTGGCCATACGAAACGCTCGCTGATTAGTTTGATGGTGGCCTTTATTTCAGGATGCGAAATATTATGCATAGCTTCGAAAATGTTTCGTCTTAGTGGCTTTAGAATAAATGGTCGTGGTTGGCCCGTAGAAATATCACACATGATGCTTACTTTTTCAAATGAAGTTTCTTCGAGTACTAACGAGGTTGTGTTGGGAGACCTTAGACTGTTTAACTCAACATCTATTTTGCAATGCTGCTAATTTAAGATAATCGATTTCGGATTGGATGAGAGCGTTTATCATCGTTCTGGGTAACGCGTCTGCCACTTCGTTCTTTAGTCATACTAATATCGTCTTCTCGTCTAGAAGCGATCTATATGGCTCGCTTTTGTCTTCTGATACTACTTAGTTCATGGATACGTAATCGGTTGTCAATCCTCTTATCACTACTGAATGGTCTCCATTCATAAGCCAGTTTCATCGGGTATCCACTAGTAAGTCGAAATCCTTTAACAAATCAATACCAATTATGGGTACGGATATATCTGCGATAATGAATTCCCAGCGAAATGAAGTACTACGACCGAAATTCAAGGTTACTTTTCGCTTGCCATATGTTTTTTATATCGGGTCTATTTGCTGCCTTAAGCGTTAGCACTGTATTAATATTTCGTGTTTCGTTACTCACTGGATGCACGATAATTACTTCTGCTCCCGTGTCCACTAAGAACTGAGCGCCTCTTACTCTGTCCTGAAAGTAGAATAAACGACTGTCCTTAGGAGCTGTTCCAGTTGTCGCAGCGGTTACCGACAATCGGTGTGATCGTTTGAATTTACATGGTGGTCTACAGTTTCGAGCTTTGTCGCCGAAAGTTTGATGGTACCAACACATTGTATGAGCTGAGCGTCTCCTAGAACATGACCGGCTTCTATCTCTCGATCTACTTCACGACCATCTTCTTTGTACATCGCTCTGATTTAGCTTCGTCAGCTTGTGGCATGAAACTTCAATTCCACATTACTTGATTGAAAAAAAAATTATTCTGATATACATTCACCGACAGGAGTATAGCACGGTAGTGGAATGAAGTTGATGTCTTTTTTTGAAGTTAACATTTTGATCAAAACTCGGATGAAACAGTCAGACAGAATTATTTTTTTAATTTGAATAGCAGAGATCATAAGTGAATAGCAGCTAGA